TTTGTCACATAATGTTAGTACAGCCATTTGTGTGTCACATAATGTTAGTACAGCCATTTGTGTGTCACATAATGTTAGTACAGCCATTGTCACATAATGTTAGTACAGCCATTTGTCACATAATGTTAGTACAGCCATTTGTCACATAATGTTAGTACAGCCATTTGTCACATAATATTAGTACAGCCATTTGTGTGTCACATAATGTAAGTACAGCCATTTGTCACATAATGTTAGTACAGCCATTTGTGTCACATAATGTTAGTACAGCCATTTGTCACATAATGTTAGTACAGCCATTTGTCACATAATGTTAGTACAGCCATTTGTCACATAATGTTAGTACAGCCATTTGTGTGTCACATAATGTTAGTACAGCCATTTGTCACATAATGTTAGTACAGCCATTTGTCACATAATGTAAGTACAGCCATTTGTCACATAATGTTAGTACAGCCATTTGTGTCACATAATGTTAGTACAGCCATTTGTCACATAATGTTAGTACAGCCATTTTTGTGTCACATAATGTTAGTACAGCCATTGTCACATAATGTTAGTACAGCCATTTGTCACATAATGTTAGTACAGCCATTTGTGTGTCACATAATGTTAGTACAGCCATTTGTGTGTCACATAATGTTAGTACAGCCATTTGTGTGTCACATAATGTTAGTACAGCCATTGTCACATAATGTTAGTACAGCCATTTGTCACATAATGTTAGTACAGCCATTTGTGTGTCACATAATGTTAGTACAGCCATTGTCACATAATGTTAGTACAGCCATTTGTCACATAATGTTAGTACAGCCATTTGTCACATAATGTTAGTACAGCCATTTGTCACATAATGTTAGTACAGCCATTTGTGTGTCACATAATGTAAGTACAGCCATTTGTCACATAATGTTAGTACAGCCATTTGTGTCACATAATGTTAGTACAGCCATTTGTCACATAAAGTTAGTACAGCCATTTGTGTGTCACATAATGTTAGTACAGCCATTGTCACATAATGTTAGTACAGCCATTTGTCACATAATGTTAGTACAGCCATTTGTGTGTCACATAATGTTAGTACAGCCATTTGTGTGTCACATAATGTTAGTACAGCCATTTGTGTGTCACATAATGTTAGTACAGCCATTTGTGTGTCACATAATGTTAGTACAGCCATTTGTGTGTCACATAATGTTAGTACAGCCATTGTCACATAATGTTAGTACAGCCATTTGTCACATAATGTTAGTACAGCCATTTGTGTGTCACATAATGTTAGTACAGCCATTTGTCACATAATGTTAGTACAGCCATTTGTCACATAATGTTAGTACAGCCATTTGTGTCACATAATGTTAGTACAGCCATTTGTGTGTCACATAATGTTAGTACAGCCATTTGTGTGTCACATAATGTTAGTACAGCCATTTGTGTGTCACATAATGTTAGTACAGCCATTGTCACATAATGTTAGTACAGCCATTTGTGTGTCACATAATGTTAGTACAGCCATTTGTGTCACATAATGTTAGTACAGCCATTTGTCACATAATGTTAGTACAGCCATTTGTCACATAATGTTAGTACAGCCATTTGTGTGTCACATAATGTTAGTACAGCCATTTGTCACATAATGTTAGTACAGCCATTTGTGTGTCACATAATGTTAGTACAGCCATTGTCACATAATGTTAGTACAGCCATTTGTCACATAATGTTAGTACAGCCATTTGTCACATAATGTTAGTACAGCCATTTGTGTGTCACATAATGTTAGTACAGCCATTTGTGTGTCACATAATGTTAGTACAGCCATTTGTGTCACATAATGTTAGTACAGCCATTGTCACATAATGTTAGTACAGCCATTTGTCACATAATGTTAGTACAGCCATTTGTCACATAATGTAAGTACAGCCATTTGTCACATAATGTTAGTACAGCCATTTGTGTGTCACATAATGTTAGTACAGCCATTTGTGTGTCACATAATGTTAGTACAGCCATTGTCACATAATGTTAGTACAGCCATTTGTCACATAATGTTAGTACAGCCATTTGTGTGTCACATAATGTTAGTACAGCCATTTGTGTGTCACATAATGTTAGTGCAGCCATTTGTGTGTCACATAATGTTAGTACAGCCATTTGTGTCACATAATGTTAGTACAGCCATTTGTGTCACATAATGTTAGTACAGCCATTTGTGTCACATAATGTTAGTACAGCCATTTGTCACATAATGTTAGTACAGCCATTTGTGTGTCACATAATGTTAGTACAGCCATTTGTCACATAATGTAAGTACAGCCATTTGTGTGTCACATAATGTTAGTACAGCCATTTGTGTCACATAATGTTAGTACAGCCATTTGTGTCACATAATGTTAGTACAGCCATTTGTGTCACATAATGTTAGTACAGCCATTTGTGTGTCACATAATGTTAGTACAGCCATTGTCACATAATGTTAGTACAGCCATTTGTCACATAATGTTAGTACAGCCATTTGTCACATAATGTTAGTACAGCCATTTGTGTGTCACATAATGTTAGTACAGCCATTTGTCACATAATGTTAGTACAGCCATTTGTCACATAATGTTAGTACAGCCATTTGTCACATAATGTTAGTACAGCCATTTGTGTGTCACATAATGTTAGTACAGCCATTTGTCACATAATGTTAGTACAGCCATTTGTGTGTCACATAATGTTAGTACAGCCATTTGTGTGTCACATAATGTTAGTACAGCCATTTGTGTGTCACATAATGTTAGTACAGCCATTTGTGTGTCACATAATGTTAGTACAGCCATTGTCACATAATGTTAGTACAGCCATTTGTCACATAATGTTAGTACAGCCATTTGTGTGTCACATAATGTTAGTACAGCCATTTGTCACATAATGTTAGTACAGCCATTTGTCACATAATGTTAGTACAGCCATTTGTGTCACATAATGTTAGTACAGCCATTTGTGTGTCACATAATGTTAGTACAGCCATTTGTGTGTCACATAATGTTAGTACAGCCATTTGTGTGTCACATAATGTTAGTACAGCCATTGTCACATAATGTTAGTACAGCCATTTGTGTGTCACATAATGTTAGTACAGCCATTTGTGTCACATAATGTTAGTACAGCCATTTGTCACATAATGTTAGTACAGCCATTTGTCACATAATGTTAGTACAGCCATTTGTGTGTCACATAATGTTAGTACAGCCATTTGTCACATAATGTTAGTACAGCCATTTGTGTGTCACATAATGTTAGTACAGCCATTGTCACATAATGTTAGTACAGCCATTTGTCACATAATGTTAGTACAGCCATTTGTCACATAATGTTAGTACAGCCATTTGTGTGTCACATAATGTTAGTACAGCCATTTGTGTGTCACATAATGTTAGTACAGCCATTTGTGTCACATAATGTTAGTACAGCCATTGTCACATAATTTTAGTACAGCCATTTGTCACATAATGTTAGTACAGCCATTTGTCACATAATGTTAGTACAGCCATTTGTCACATAATGTTAGTACAGCCATTTGTGTGTCACATAATGTTAGTACAGCCATTTGTGTGTCACATAATGTTAGTACAGCCATTGTCACATAATGTTAGTACAGCCATTTGTCACATAATGTTAGTACAGCCATTTGTGTGTCACATAATGTTAGTACAGCCATTTGTGTGTCACATAATGTTAGTACAGCCATTTGTGTGTCACATAATGTTAGTACAGCCATTTGTGTCACATAATGTTAGTACAGCCATTTGTGTCACATAATGTTAGTACAGCCATTTGTGTCACATAATGTTAGTACAGCCATTTGTCACATAATGTTAGTACAGCCATTTGTGTGTCACATAATGTTAGTACAGCCATTTGTGTGTCACATAATGTTAGTACAGCCATTTGTCACATAATGTAAGTACAGCCATTTGTGTGTCACATAATGTTAGTACAGCCATTTGTGTCACATAATGTTAGTACAGCCATTTGTGTCACATAATGTTAGTACAGCCATTTGTGTGTCACATAATGTTAGTACAGCCATTGTCACATAATGTTAGTACAGCCATTTGTCACATAATGTTAGTACAGCCATTTGTCACATAATGTTAGTACAGCCATTTGTCACATAATGTTAGTACAGCCATTTGTGTGTCACATAATGTTAGTACAGCCATTTGTCACATAATGTTAGTACAGCCATTTGTCACATAATGTTAGTACAGCCATTTGTCACATAATGTTAGTACAGCCATTTGTGTGTCACATAATGTTAGTACAGCCATTTGTGTGTCACATAATGTTAGTACAGCCATTTGTGTCACATAATGTTAGTACAGCCATTTGTCACATAATGTTAGTACAGCCATTTGTCACATAATGTTAGTACAGCCATTTGTCACATAATGTTAGTACAGCCATTTGTGTCACATAATGTTAGTACAGCCATTTGTGTGTCACATAATGTTAGTACAGCCATTTGTGTCACATAATGTTAGTACAGCCATTTGTGTCACATAATGTTAGTACAGCCATTTGTGTGTCACATAATGTTAGTACAGCCATTTGTGTGTCACATAATGTTAGTACAGCCATTTGTCACATAATGTTAGTACAGCCATGTGTGTGTCACATAATGTTAGTACAGCCATTGTCACATTTGTTTGACATAATTAGCCCATCTAAAACCCATCCCATTTAGACACACCAACATTGGTTATCCTACACCTGCTAGTGTTGTCAGTGCCTGTCAGTTTTATACACATTTGCCTGTGTTGTTGCCTACCATTTGTTTTGTTTATCATCCTTAATTTTAAATTCTGTGAATAAATTGTAATCATTCAAGTTACAAAAAGTTTATTACAAAAAGTAATTTTAGTTGTGTTCAGATTTTGACTCAGCAAGCCAGCACTATGTATTTGACTCTTGAAGTAACTAAAATAAAAAGTGAATGATTTTGTTGCTCTCAGGATCATGTGCCAGGCTTCCTCAAGTCAGTCAGTGCCCTCCAAGACAAAGGTGTCAAGAAGGTGATTTGTGTGGCCGTCAATGATCCATTTGTCACAGCAGCTTGGGGCAAGTCTTTAGATGCTTCAGGGAAGGTAGGCAACTCTTGGCATCCTTAGTACAGTGCTTGAGCTTTCTTACTTCCACAGTCATTTGATTTTATCTTGATTTAGACTTGTGATCTCATGGTTTCTTACTTCCACAGTCATTTGATTTTATCTTGATTTAGGCTTGAGATCTCATGGTTTCTTACTTCCACAGTCATTTGATTTTATCTTGATTTAGACTTGTGATCTCATGGTTTCTTACTTCCACAGTCATTTGATTTTATCTTGATTTAGACTTGTGATCTCATGGTTTCTTACTTCCACAGTCATTTGATTTTATCTTGATTTAGGCTTGTGATCTCATGGTTTCTTACTTCCACAGTCATTTGATTTTATCTTGATTTAGGCTTGAGATCTCATGGTTTCTTACTTCCACAGTCATTTGATTTTATCTTGATTTAGGCTTGTGATCTCATGGTTTCTTACTTCCACAGTCATTTGATTTTATCTTGATTTAGGCTTGAGATCTCATGGTTTCTTACTTCCACAGTCATTTGATTTTATCTTGATTTAGGCTTGAGATCTCATGGTTTCTTACTTCCACAGTCATTTGATTTTATCTTGATTTAGACTTGTGATCTCATGGTTTCTTACTTCCACAGTCATTTGATTTTATCTTGATTTAGACTTGTGATCTCATGGTTTCTTACTTCCACAGTCATTTGATTTTATCTTGATTTAGGCTTGTGATCTCATGGTTTCTTACTTCCACAGTCATTTGATTTTATCTTGATTTAGGCTTGTGATCTCATGGTTTCTTACTTCCACAGTCATTTGATTTTATCTTGATTTAGGCTTGAGATCCCATGGTTTCTTACTTCCACAGTCATTTGATTTTATCTTGATTTAGGCTTGTGATCTCATGGTTTCTTACTTCCACAGTCATTTGATTTTATCTTGATTTAGGCTTGAGATCTCATGGTTTCTTACTTCCACAGTCATTTGATTTTATCTTGATTTAGGCTTGAGATCTCATGGTTTCTTACTTCCACAGTCATTTGATTTTATCTTGATTTAGACTTGTGATCTCATGGTTTCTTACTTCCACAGTCATTTGATTTTATCTTGATTTAGACTTGTGATCTCATGGTTTCTTACTTCCACAGTCATTTGATTTTATCTTGATTTAGGCTTGTGATCTCATGGTTTCTTACTTCCACAGTCATTTGATTTTATCTTGATTTAGGCTTGAGATCTCATGGTTTCTTACTTCCACAGTCATTTGATTTTATCTTGATTTAGGCTTGTGATCTCATGGTTTCTTACTTCCACAGTCATTTGATTTTATCTTGATTTAGGCTTGAGATCTCATGGTTTCTTACTTCCACAGTCATTTGATTTTATCTTGATTTAGGCTTGAGATCTCATGGTTTCTTACTTCCACAGTCATTTGATTTTATCTTGATTTAGGCTTGTGATCTCATGGTTTCTTACTTCCACAGTCATTTGATTTTATCTTGATTTAGGCTTGTGATCTCATGGTTTCTTACTTCCACAGTCATTTGATTTTATCTTGATTTAGGCTTGTGATCTCATGGTTTCTTACTTCCACAGTCATTTGATTTTATCTTGATTTAGGCTTGTGATCTCATGGTTTCTTACTTCCACAGTCATTTGATTTTATCTTGATTTAGGCTTGAGATCCCATGGTTTCTTACTTCCACAGTCATTTGATTTTATCTTGATTTAGGCTTGTGATCTCATGGTTTCTTACTTCCACAGTCATTTGATTTTATCTTGATTTAGGCTTGAGATCTCATGGTTTCTTACTTCCACAGTCATTTGATTTTATCTTGATTTAGGCTTGAGATCTCATGGTTTCTTACTTCCACAGTCATTTGATTTTATCTTGATTTAGACTTGTGATCTCATGGTTTCTTACTTCCACAGTCATTTGATTTTATCTTGATTTAGACTTGTGATCTCATGGTTTCTTACTTCCACAGTCATTTGATTTTATCTTGATTTAGGCTTGTGATCTCATGGTTTCTTACTTCCACAGTCATTTGATTTTATCTTGATTTAGGCTTGTGATCTCATGGTTTCTTACTTCCACAGTCATTTGATTTTATCTTGATTTAGGCTTGAGATCCCATGGTTTCTTACTTCCACAGTCATTTGATTTTATCTTGATTTAGGCTTGTGATCTCATGGTTTCTTACTTCCACAGTCATTTGATTTTATCTTGATTTAGGCTTGAGATCTCATGGTTTCTTACTTCCACAGTCATTTGATTTTATCTTGATTTAGGCTTGAGATCTCATGGTTTCTTACTTCCACAGTCATTTGATTTTATCTTGATTTAGACTTGTGATCTCATGGTTTCTTACTTCCACAGTCATTTGATTTTATCTTGATTTAGACTTGTGATCTCATGGTTTCTTACTTCCACAGTCATTTGATTTTATCTTGATTTAGGCTTGTGATCTCATGGTTTCTTACTTCCACAGTCATTTGATTTTATCTTGATTTAGGCTTGAGATCTCATGGTTTCTTACTTCCACAGTCATTTGATTTTATCTTGATTTAGGCTTGTGATCTCATGGTTTCTTACTTCCACAGTCATTTGATTTTATCTTGATTTAGGCTTGAGATCTCATGGTTTCTTACTTCCACAGTCATTTGATTTTATCTTGATTTAGGCTTGAGATCTCATGGTTTCTTACTTCCACAGTCATTTGATTTTATCTTGATTTAGGCTTGTGATCTCATGGTTTCTTACTTCCACAGTCATTTGATTTTATCTTGATTTAGGCTTGTGATCTCATGGTTTCTTACTTCCACAGTCATTTGATTTTATCTTGATTTAGGGACCAACTTAAATGCTACTTGTTTTGTTTTTTTTTTTGTCAGATTCAATTTTTAGCTGACACATGTGGTGCCTTTACTAAGGTAGGCTCTTTCTTACACTTGTTATATAGCTCATTCTTACACTTGTTATATCCTCAAGAGTCGTAGCTTTCATTATACTAATGATGCTACATATTTCCTTTAGGCTATTGACTTATCCCTGGACCTGACTGCAGTTTTAGGGAGTGTGCGCAGCAAAAGGTGAGTTTTTTCATCACTGGTGTTATCAGTTCCATTACCCACCATCCTATGTCAAGATTGAGTTTTTTATAGTCTGACTAGAAAATGGTTTGATTTGTGAAGTTAACATATTTTAAAACATGTTTACTCACATATGAACAAATTTTCAACCAAAATTTAAAAACGTACAATCTTTTTGATTTAAGAATTCTCTTTTGTATCCAATTCCCTGAAATTGACTTGGATCATTCAATCAGCCTATGGGGTGGGACTGATGCAAGCATTGATCCAAAGTGTATGTTGCAGGTATGCCATGGTGGTGGAGAACGGTGTGGTCAAAGCTATCAGTGTGGAGCCAGATGGAACTGGCCACACCTGCAGCAAGGGAGACGACATCCTCAAGTTGGTCTGATGGGGCAGGGGGAGTAACCCCTGGTCTAGCAGGAGTAATCTCAATCTTTCTAATACTCATTTCATATCTATTGACTATGTGAGAAATAAAACAAACTGATGAATATTTTCATTCTTGGTTTAATCATATCTATACATATTTACATAAACAGAACTGGCATCATGTTAGCACTAACTAATGTGATGTAGTGCAACTTGGCACTCTAAAGTTAGCTGAACAGTCCAGGCAGTTAAGAAAAAAATTTCTGGTCATGAAAGAAAGGGGATAATGAAAACAAAAAAAATTCTGTATACATTTATTATTCCACTGATCACAAACATTCTAGTGTTGTATATACCACAAGAAGAAACAAAACCACTTGACTGGACCGGTCATTCATTCATTCCAGCCCGCCAACAAGTATTTACACCAGCAAACAAAAGATTATGCTCAACACATTCAATACTGCTCAACAGATGTGACCAATCAAATGAGGCTAGAATTTATACATAAGTCCTACTAATTAAATAGATTATTCTATTGGATGGGCTTGTACAGAAGTGTGGTGACATACTTTTTGCGGAATCTGTGGGTTGCACTTAATACCATTACACCATCCTGAAATAGAAAATCTGGCATTAATAACTGACAACACAGAATTAAACAACTATACAATCTTATCTGCAACTAAAGCCTATCTCAAAACCCTTCCCCAGTCCCTAAGCTGAGGGAGGTAACCCCCAACAACTTTTCTTAGAAATTGTTTTAAAACATTTTAAAAAATTAAAAAGGCACACAATATACTAATTGAATAACGAAATGTATTATCTCTCAGAAAAAATATTTTTATGTTTTTCAAAAACTATAGTTTAGAATGAATTTTGAGATGCAACGATATGGTCTGAGATCGCCTCAGTGTTTCAGAATCTAACATAAGAGAATCTATTTATCTGATTCTTTAAAACAAATTGAAAACCACAATAATGCCAGAGCGACCATTTACACAAAAACAAGTGTAAAAATTTGTCCGAAACTCGACTTAGTAACTTACTATAAAATTATTAAAATGTTAGAAACTTCCAGTTATTTTTGGGGGGAAAAAAATTGTGCATTTAGTTAACGCTAAGAAAACAGAAGCGAAGAGCTTTCTGTATGAAAATGTGATAGATCCACAATTGGGTCACATTAGTAGCAAATGAGTTAAGGTGGACCTGTATTACAAGTTAGCTTACCTTGATGGATAATGCATACAGGTGATTCAACATCACATGATTTGGTTCTGGCAGTAAGGAAGGTTCAACCTGGTCAAATATATCATTTCATACATGTGGTCAAATATATCTCATTTCATACATGTGGTCAAATATATCTCATTTCATACATGTGGTCAAATATATCTCATTTCATACATGTGGTCAAATATACCTAGTTAAATACATGTGGTAAACTATTTCTGATTAAATTTAGTTTAAAAATTTCCAGAAGTTTTAATAATGTATTGGCTGAAAGTTTTCTTTTATATTCTCATTCTGCTAAAATATTAGAATTTGCAATTCAGACAAGTTCTATCTCTTGTGATTGGGTTTTGTGTGTATACCATCCCTAACTTGCCAAATGTTAAGACTGGCCAGAGCTACCACAACTTCAAGGCATGGATAAAGTTTCTGTTACTTACATGAGCTGGGGTATCTTTATTTAAAATGACTTGCAACAACTGAGGTGGGAGGAAGGGGGGACCACTGTGTTTGCCTTCTGTAGTACCACGGGGAGGAATTTCTTGTCCATAATCATTTTTGTCAGCTGATCAATGAAAATTTTGGAAAAACAAAATTTTAAAACTCTGAAAACTTGCAATATGTTACAAAACATCGCTAAACCAACTCTCTACATTCTAGTCTGCTAAACACTAACCTACCATTTGCAATAATGTCAGTTCTTAATATCACAATCTAATGTTGTGGAGGCAAATTAAATTCCCTAACTAATCTAAACAATTAATTTAGTGTATACAAATTTAATTACAAGATATGGTATATTGTACTGGTGGTGGGAGAATAATTAGTTACAAAATAAATTTGTGAATGCAGTTTGCTAGATATGTAGTCTATGTTGCCTGGCGACTGGGTGTAATCCAGGCAGAGACCAACATTCATTAATAATATCTAGTTCTCAAGCCTCCTACATTCATTAATAATATCTAGTTCTCAAGCCTCCAACATTCATTAATAATATCTAGTTCTCAAGCCTCCTACATTCATTAATAATATCTAGTTCTCAAGCCTCCTACATTCATTAATAATATCTAGTTCTCAAGCCTCCAACATTCATTAATAATATCTAGTTCTCAAGCCTCCTACATTCATTAATAATATCTAGTTCTCAAGCCTCCTACATTCATTAATAATATCTAGTTCTCAAGCCTCCTACATTCATTAATAATATCTAGTTCTCAAGCCTCCTATACATGGGATCACCACAAACATATTTTTGGAGGAACTTTTCCTATGGTCCCCAGAAAGTATGCCTAACACATTCAATAAAAAAATGAAGCTTCACCTTTTTTAGCTGCCCTTCCATCTATAGCCAGGGCCTCGAAAGCATCAAAGTCTGACCTCTTGACCCTCATTGTGTTATTCTGAGTGCCGATATCACTATTAGTCACAGGCTGAAACAGAGTTTACTTTGTAAATAAACATGACACAGGCACCTGCAGTACAGCGGTCCTGGCCAACACAAATAATGACAGCTGCTCATTTGGATCATCCGCCAAAGGTAAGGTGGACAATCCACCAAAGGTAAGGTGGACGATCAACCAAAAGTAAGGGGGGACAATCCACCAAAGGTAAGGAGGACAATCTGCCAAAGGTAAGGTGGACAATCCACCAAAGGTAAGGTGGACAATCCAACAAAGGTAAGGTGGACAATCCACCAAAGGTAAGGTAAACAAACCACCCCTCCAACTGGTGGGAAAGAATTCTGTGTACTCCAACTGTTAGGTTATCAAACGAATGTTTAGTGAAAGTAAAATCCAGGTAAAACAAATATGTCATTGGTTATGCGGGGGAGGATCTGGCAAGTATGTCATGGGGAGTAGGGTATTCAAGCTTGATACAAATATCTGTATGTCATGGGGAGTAATGTATTCGAGCTTGATACAAATATCTGTATGTCATGGGGAATAGGGTAGTCAAGCTTGATACAAATATCTGTATGTCATGGGGAGTAGGGTATTCAAGCTTGATACAAATATCTATGTCATGACCAGCTGCTGTTAGGAAATGTTTATAATTTGGACGGGGGGACAATAAACACCTCAACCCCTTCGCTGTGTAAGTCTGACATTCTACTCAGTCATCAGATATAAAACAAAGTGAGGCAAGAGATGGACTGGAACCCACACGGAAGAAAAAATGTTGGCTGACATAAACAATCCTGGAGACAGTTGAAAGCAACGTAAGGGCTGCAGAGATTACATTGTAATCAGCAGACGTATGATGCGCCTGACATTGTAATCAGCAGACATATGATGCGCCTGACATTGTAATCAGCAGACGTATGATGCGCCTGACATTGTAATCAGCAGACGTATGATGCGCCTGACATTGTAATCAGCAGACATATGATGCGCCTGACATTGTAATCAGCAGACGTATGATGCGCCTGACATTGTAATCAGCAGACGTATAATGCGTCTGACATTGTAATCAGCAGACGTATGATGCGCCTGACATTGTAATCAGCAGACGTATGATGCGCCTGACATTGTAATCAGCAGACGTATGATGCGCCTGACATTGTAATCAGCAGACGTATGATGCGCCTGACATTGTAATCAGCAGACGTATGATGCGCCTGACATTGTAATCAGCAGTCGTATGATGCGCCTGACATTGTAATCAGCAGACGTATGATGCGCCTGACATTGTAATCAGCAGACGTATGATGCGCCTGACATTGTAATCAGCAGACGTATAATGCGCCTGACATTATTGGCTACCACCAACAGCTACAGAAGGCAAAGAGAAATATATGCTCTCGCATTGGTCACAATAAATGCAACAGTGGGGCATTAGAGTCCCAGAAAATTGTAATAGATTGAATTCTTTCATTAAAAAAAAATGGAACTTTGTTTTGTTATTGAAACATGGCATGTGGAGTGGCGGAGGAGATAAAGACATCTGGAGAGTAAGCGGGTCACATCTGGCCTCAATGTTACAGCACTACCAAGAATCTACTCACACAACAGTGTTTTATATCATACTTACTAGCTTTAAAACAAAGACGAAGCACAGCGAAAGGGTTATAGTGAGTTATATAAAAATTTGGTATTTTTTTAAAACCATGCAAAAATATATGTACCAATAATAGCAAATATTGGATAGAATAATGAAATAGTCTGAGAATAAAAGACAAGACTGAGTTCCTGAAATGCTAAATCAAGACATTTCACAACTCTGCCCTGCCGAGTCATCTAAGATACTTACAGTGCGAGAGTAGGAGGACCTCTGCAATAAACACAAGTACAAGTTATTGGTGTCAACCAGACCTAGTTAGGTCACATGCCCCGCTACCTCCATGCAATCACTTGCTGATAGAGAAACTATTTACCTCCATGCAATCACTTGCTGATAGAGAACCTATTTACAGGCTAGTGTGGATTTAATGGGCGGTAGGATGTGCCAGCAAAACTGTGTGTACATGAGACATCACAGCTAGACAAAACATGCAGTTCCCCACAACAACACAGAACAGCAGACCGTGGTGCAGCTAGCAAGTGCTGTGAGTCACCAGGACCTTACACTAGTTACAATAGAATGTAGCATGGATCTGACTAGTTACACTACAATAGAAAGTAGCATGGATCTGACTAGTTACACTACAATAGAAAGTAGCATGGATCTGACTAGTTACACTACAATAGAAAGTAGCATGGATCTGACTAGTTACACTACAATAGAAAGTAGCATGGATCTGACTAGTTACACTACAATAGAAAGTAGCATGGATCTGACTAGTTACACTACAATAGAAAGTAGCATGGATCTGACTAGTTACACTACAATAGAAAGTAGCATGGATCTGACCAGTTACACTACAATAGAAAGTAGCATGGATCTGACTAGTTACACTACAATAGAAAGTAGCATGGATCTGACTAGTTACACTACAATAGAAAGTAGCATGGATCTGACTAGTTACACTACAATAGAAAGTAGCATGGATCTGACTAGTTACACTACAATAGAAAGTAGCATGGATCTGACTAGTTACACTACAATAGAAAGTAGCATGGATCTGACTAGTTACACTACAATAGAAAGTAGCATGGATCTGACCAGTTACACTACAATAGAAAGTAGCATGAATCTGACCAGTTACACTACAATAGAAAGTAGCATGGATCTGACCAGTTACACTACAATAGAAAGTAGCATGGATCTGACTAGTTACACTACAATAGAAAGTAGCATGGATCTGACTAGTTACACTACAATAGAAAGTAGCATGGATCTGACTAGTTACACTACAATAGAAAGTAGCATGGATCTGACCGGTTCCATGACAAATGATCTCAGGACAAATGATCTCAGACAAAATATCTCAGACAAAATATCTCACGGACAAATGATCTCAGGACAAATGATCTCAAGGACAAATGATCTCACGGACAAAAGATACCAGGACAAAATATATCAAGACAAATGATACCATGGACAAATGATCTCAGACAAAATATCTCACAGCAAAATTTTAATAGTGTATACGATAATTTTAGTTGTTTTGAACATTTTTTATTGATTGGCATGTGGTTTTGTTTATTTTTTTACACATAATAATTGTGGGTAAAATAAATTTGGCAAACTTAACAAAACATCACAAGATTTATTAAACTTAATTTTTGTAATAGCAGATCTTCAGGTTTCTAACGTAAAACCATTGTTTTTATTGCATAATCAACACAAATATAATGCTTACGTTTCTTTGCTGACAATCGTATGGCTATGATCACACCTATCCAATAATATGTGATCGTCTACTATTGTGTGAACTCTTGCTCGACATAAATTCACTAGAAACTAAGTTCCTATAACCTTTCTACGATGTAACGTAAGAGGTCATAGCTGAGTAATCACCACTAATACTGCTTTGTTTGCATACACAATATGACGAACTTTGCTCCGCGATGACCGCTGTCGTTTAAATAAGCATTTGTCACCTGATCACTAAGGTGTGACCGACGCATAACTATTGACTAGTTGTATTGTCCATGGAGGGCGGATGTCTTTCCAATAAGGCATGTCTCTGCTATCAAAGCGGGCGGCCACCTTGATACGAAGGTGTGTCTTTATTGTTATTTCATTCCCCTTGATATAGTTTCATCAACCTGACATGGTAGGTTTGTCTCATGTTTTGCAAGCCCACCTATGCTATCTATAGAACAATTTCTTTAAACTTCGCATACTATATTAGTAATCTTAATTTTAAAATGTTTAGTGGAATGTGACAAATTTATGCGGCAAACATTTCTTACAATTATTAAATTGGCCTATAAACAAAATTAAATTTAAAAAACCAATATGAAAAAAAAATTCAGATCAACTAAAATCATCCTACACACTATTAAAATTTTGCTGTGAGATATTTTGTCTGAGATATTTTGTCTGAGATCAATTGTCCATGGTACCATTTGTCCTGATATATTTTGTCCTGGTATCTTTTGTCCGTGAGATCATTTGTCCTTGAGATCATTTGTCCTGAAATCATTTGTCCTGAGATCATTTGTCCGTGAGATATTTTGTCTGAGATATTTTGTCTGAGATCATTTGTCCTGAGATCATTTGTCCTGTCACCATCTGACCAGTTACACTACAATAGAAAGTAGCATGGATCTGACTAGTTACACTACAATAGAAAGTAGCATGGATCTGACTAGTTACACTACAATAGAAAGTAGCATGGATCTGACTAGTTACACTACAATAGAAAGTAGCATGGATCTGACAGTATTTGGCTGGGGTTGAGAAAAAAGGTGTGCAAATAAAAGGTGTGGGTGTAAAGATGAGCGCTGGCTGGCAGTGGTTGATTGAATAAAACACACACAGTGCTGGGTACACCAGTTAAAGCAACTCAAGCACCAACCAATGGGACATGCACAGCTTTCTGACAATATGTACAGTTAGTGAGACCCTTTGGATACAACTAGTGAGACCCTTTGGATACAACTAGTAAGACCACATGGATACAACAAGCGAGACTACAATACAGATAGACAAAAAACACTACCAGCTTAAAACAAGGAAACTTTCAGTGGAAGCAGTTCTTAACTGGCCACTACAATAGTAGCCTGCCATGGCCAATAGACTTTTTACAAGTTAAATTGGGCTGACAATCCCAAGAAGAGAATATTTAAATCCTCTCTATGGAATGAAGAAATTTTAATTTTCTTCTATCGAATTAAGACATGTTTAAGTCATATATATTCTATTGATTAGTATTCAAGCTCTTAATGAAGAATTTGAAAACTGATATGTTCCAGTTGAAAGCAAACAGAGTAATTGCTGACTATGTACAATGTGTGTAGCGGTGAGGTTAGTTGTAGCAACATCCATGCCATGTAAATATTTCATATCACAAATTCTATTTACAACCATTTATGCAGAATTTAAAAACTATTTTTAGTAGCAAAAGCAGATTTGTTTGGCATTTTCTTATTTTAGTTATGGTATTTAAAAATGATCAGAATTCTTAACTTCTCAACACAAAACTTCACCTATTAACTGTGTGTGGGTGTGAGGAGGGTATGTACATATTGTCAGAATATCTGCACATCACAGTCAACACAAAACCATCTTTATTACAGCTGATTAGACTTACATCATTGGGAGAATTGACCCACTGACCATCCACAAAAAACTTGTACTGATGGTCACCCTCAGGTAAGTCCAAGATTGTGTAGAAATCTCCATGGCTGTGTAGAGAAACAAGAAAGCTATCATTCAAGGGTTCATCAAACAAATTATACATTACACTGTAGAGAAACAAGAAAGCTATCATTCAAGGGTTCATCAAACAAATTATACATTACACTGTAGAGAAACAAGAAAGCTATCATTCAAGGGTTCATCAAACAAATTATACATTACACTGTAGAGAAACAAGAAAGCTATCATTCAAGGGTTCATCAAACAAATTATACATTACACTGTAGAGAAACAAGACAGCTATCATTCAAGGGTTCATCAAACAAATTATACATTACACTGTAGAGAAACAAGAAAGCTATCATTCAAGGGTTCATCAAACAAATTATACATTACACTGTAGAGAAACAAGAAAGCTATCATTCAAGGGTTCATCAAACAAATTATACATTACACTGTAGAGAAACAAGAAAGCTATCATTTAAGGGTTCATCAAACAAATTATACATTACACTGTAGAGAAACAAGAAAGCTATCATTCAAGGGTTCATCAAACAAATTATACATTACACTGTAGAGAAACAAGAAAGCTATCATTCAAGGGTTCATCTAACAAATTATACATTACACTGTAGAGAAACAAGAAAGCTATCATTCAAGGGTTCATCAAACAAATTATACATTACACTGTAGAGAAACAAGAAAGCTATCATTTAAGGGTTCATCAAACAAATTATACATTACACTGTAGAGAAACAAGAAAGCTATCATTCAAGGGTTCATCAAACAAATTATACATTACACTGTAGAGAAACAAGAAAGCTATCATTCAAGGGTTCATCAAACAAATTATACATTACACTGTAGAGAAACAAGACAGCTATCATTCAACGGTTCATCAAACAAATTATACATTACACTGTAGAGAAACAAGAAAGCTATCATTCAAGGGTTCATCAAACAAATTATACATTACACTGTAGAGAAACAAGAAAGCTATCATTCAAGGGTTCATCAAACAAATTATACATTACACTGTAGAGAAACAAGAAAGCTATCATTCAAGGGTTCATCAAACAAATTATACATTACACTGTAGAGAAACAAGAAAGCTATCATTCAAGGGCTCATCAAACAAATTATACATTACACTGTAGAGAAACAAGACAGCTATCATTCAAGGGTTCATCAAACAAATTATACATTACACTGTAGAGAAACAAGAAAGCTATCATTCAAGGGTTCATCAAACAAATTATACATTACACTGTAGAGAAACAAGAAAGCTATCATTCAAGGGTTCATCAAACAAATTATACATTACACTGTAGAGAAACAAGAAAGCTATCATTTAAGGGTTCATCAAACAAATTATACATTACACTGTAGAGAAACAAGAAAGCTATCATTCAAGGGTTCATCAAACAAATTATACATTACACTGTAGAGAAACAAGAAAGCTATCATTCAAGGGTTCATCAAACAAATTATACATTACACTGTAGAGAAACAAGAAAGCTATCATTTAAGGGTTCATCAAACAAATTATACATTACACTGTAGAGAAACAAGAAAGCTATCATTCAAGGGTTCATCAAACAAATTATACATTACACTGTAGAGAAACAAGAAAGCTATCATTCAAGGGTTCATCTAACAAATTATACATTACACTGTAGAGAAACAAGAAAGCTATCATTCAAGGGTTCATCAAACAAATTATACATTACACTGTAGAGAAACAAGAAAGCTATCATTTAAGGGTTCATCAAACAAATTATACATTACACTGTAGAGAAACAAGAAAGCTATCATTCAAGGGTTCATCAAACAAATTATACATTACACTGTAGAGAAACAAGAAAGCTATCATTCAAGGGTTCATCAAACAAATTATACATTACACTGTAGAGAAACAAGAAAGCTATCATTTAAGGGTTCATCAAACAAATTATACATTACACTGTAGAGAAACAAGAAAGCTATCATTCAAGGGTTCATCAAACAAATTATACATTACACTGTAGAGAAACAAGAAAGCTATCATTCAAGGGTTCATCAAACAAATTATACATTACACTGTAGAGAAACAAGAAAGCTATCATTTAAGGGTTCATCAAACAAATTATACATTACACTGTAGAGAAACAAGAAAGCTATCATTCAAGGGTTCATCAAACAAATTATACATTACACTGTAGAGAAACAAGAAAGCTATCATTCAAGGGTTCATCAAACAAATTATACATTACATTTTTATAAAAGATGTCTTTTTTTTTTTACAAAACATGATTTAAATAGTACAATGACCAAAGTGTATGAGTGTTTAAGGAGGTTGGTAGAGCGTTGAAGAAAAAAAGGTTGCGGGCGGAGTAGAGTGTAGGAATAAAAAGATTGAAGGTGGAGTGGAGTGTTGAAGAAAAAAGGTTGCAGGTGGAGTAGAGTGTAGGAATAAAAAGATTGAAAATGGAGTGGAGTGTTGAAGAAAAAAGGTTGCTTGACCTTTTAGCCAATGGGATCTTTGTTTTCCAGTTGTTGAAGCTGCCTGCTAGAAAAACCTCCTTTCCTCCCCCTTCCCACTTGAAGACTGTGGGCAGAAGTTTGTTGCCAGGTGTGACACTGATGTCTTGACCTGGGGTCAGGGTTGCTGCCCTCTGGCGCTAAAGTCAAATTCAAACAACTCACATGAGTAGTCAGGTAAAAATTACATGAGTCACAGACATAGTGCAATACATGAGTAGTCAGGTCAAAATTACATGAGTCACAGACATATTGCAATACATGAGTAGTCAGGTCAAAATTACATGAGTCACTGACATAGTGCAATACATGAGTAGTCAGGTCAAAATTACATGAGTCACAGACATATTGCAATACATGAGTAGTCAGGTCAAAATTACATGAGTCACTGACATAGTGCAATACATGGGCAGTCATGTAAAGATTACATCATTCACAGAAGCAATCAACTAAGCAGTGAAGACACGACACACTGTAACCATGCTGGCCCAGTCAACATAGAGCGGAGTGGACGCTAGCTTTTTACAACTAATATAAAGTGGAGTGGACACAAGCTTTTTACAACTAATATAAAGTGGAGTGGACACAAGCTTTTTACAACTAATATAAAGTGGAGTGGACGCTAGCTTTTTACAACTAATATAAAGTGGAGTGGACGCTAGCTTTTTACAACTAATATAAAGTGGAGTGGACGCTAGCTTTTTACAACTAATATAAAGTGGAGTGGACACAAGCTTTTTACAACTAATATAAAGTGGAGTGGACACAAGCTTTTTACAACTAATATAAACCAGAGAGGACACTAGCATGTTACAACCAAAATCAAAAGATCATGTACACAGCCCCAGTAGTTGTCATGTATCAAAAGATCATGCACACAACCCCAGTAGTTGTCATGTATCAAAAGATCATGTACACAACCCCAGTAGTTGTCATGTATCAAAAGATCATGTACACAACCCAGGTAGTTATGTATCAAAAGATCATGTACACAACCCCAGTAGTTGTCATGTATCAAAAGATCATGTACACAACCCCAGTAGTTGTCATGTATCAAAAGATCATGTACACAACCCCAGTAGTTGTCATGTATCAAAAGATCATGCACACAACCCTGTCATGTATCTTCTACCTGGCACAAGAACTGGTTGTAAAACTAGGTCAGCAGTTTACCTGGAGCATCTGTTACATCCCCCCTCCCACACACACACACAGGCTGCTAAAATATCATGTTCACACAGTAAGGCATTTAAAAAGTACTAGAACATTGTGTGGAGCGACATTTTAACTTAAGCATTTTAACCCTAACCCTTAACTCAAGCATTTCACTTTTATTGTACAACTTTACAGCTACAACACTACATCTTTTCAGCTACAACACTACACCTTTAGGGCTAGAACACTACACCTTTACGGCTACAACACTACACCTTTACGGCTACAACACTACACCTTTACGGCTACAACACTACACCTTTACGGCTACAACACTACACCTTTACGGCTACAACACTACACCTTTACGGCTACAACACTGCACCTTTACGGCTACAACACTACACCTTTAGGGCTACAACACTATACCTTTACGGCTACAACACTACACCTTTACGGCTACAACACTACACCTTTACGGCTACAACACTACACCTTTACAACTACAACACTACACCTTCACAGCTACAACACTACACCTTTACAACTACCAGACAATAGCCTAACAATAATATACATGAGGCAAGTTGTGGATAAGAAACTAGACAGGTCAGGATTAATCACATTCTTAATTTCAGACAGATGACATTTGAAGCATACATTAAATATGTATAATTAAAATAATTTTAGCTAGTATGTACTAAAATACATATTTAAATCTTCAGCAATGGCCACTTGCAAAGTACAACTTTTTATTAAAAAAATTTAGTGTTCTTATGATAAGGATTTGTGGTCACTTTAACACTATATTCATGGATTCGTTTTTTTATGTGCTAATCATGCACTTATATGGTTTGCTTTCAATTACAACAATACTTCTGTAGAAGAAAAATTAAAATGGAATGATTCTCATAAAACTTAAAAATCACTTTATTAAATAAACTGCAGTGGGAATAAAAGCCTTGAACTAGTGTATAAACTAGAGAAATCATTAGATTTGTGACATGATTCAACTCTAAAAAAAAAATGACCGAGAAGCAAGCTAACATAACCTCAGCTCATTACAAATTTAACAAAGGCTTAACATGGTAGCCAATTATTGACACATGCTTTTAAAGAAATAAGAATGGCTTAATTAATTAAGATGGTATTAAAAGGAAACAAACTTTTAATTTCAAGGAAAATAGATAATCCAATGATAGCCTACACATTTTTATCAAGCAATTACTGATCACACATTTGTCTAAAAAACTGTATTACTGTATTAGGCTACTTAAAGATGTAGGCCCTAAATGAAGTATCTCACAAAGATAAATAAAAAACAGAAATATATTTTACTGTAGTGTTGTAGCCGTAAAGGTGTAGTGTTGTAGTCTCAACTTTAAAAAAATGGACTTGACCAAGATTTCTAGTTCTGGAGTCTAATTCAGTTTTTTGTTAAAAACTATTACAAACCATGACAAATATATGAATGAGTTAGGCCTAGGTGGAATAAAAATGTCAACAAGGTTGTGTACTAAGTTATTTTATTTATTAGGCCTAGAATACTAGATTCTAGTTCTAGGATCTAACAACTTGCCCGTACTAAAATAAGGTTTAGATTATGGCTTATGCACTTTAAAAAATACCTCGGCATTTTCATTATCCATGCTGTCGTCACTTTTTATGACCAATCGTAAAAACAGTCAAGCAAATAAAATAAATCACAAAATTAAACATGAGGGCTAAAGTTACACGGAAGTAATACCTAATAAATAATTGGCAGACGTCACAACATGTGTCGTCGTCTGCCACTTCACTTAATAATAATAAACGGTCCGGTCTGGTCCTCGCTTCATTTTCCCGTCCCAAACCGAGGGAAAGGCGAAGGTCGCAGGAGAAAACAACCTTATCTTCTGCATTGGGACACGCTTGTTATACACTGACGTTATCTTACCTCTTCTACTAAGCGGTTGATAAAAGAGTCACCTCTGGCCATCCTTGACAAAGCAAGGACTGATACTAATTGCCTAAAATGTCAACAACACACATTCAGAGGAGAATCTATCAAGCAGACACCATGGAGCAGCTTCCCACGACGTAAACAAGAATCTGGGTTATTTAGCATTTTCGTGGCCTTCACCTTCCTTTCGAAGTTGAAAGGCCAAGCACATGAGGGGAAAAAAATCAATAGCGTGCTATTTTTAGTTGCCGTGACCCGAAAGGTGGAATACCGAACTACATAAGAGCTCAGTAACATAGTGTGTTAGCAGTGTGTGTGTGGGTCGTTGACCCAGCCGAGACTTTGGGACAACAATAACCTGTTCAACTTTTATTACGTTCGTGTCCTTAAGACCTACTTGAAAACGCGTCTACATTACGGCCTTGCTATGCTCTATCCCAACGTAGACTAGATTTTAGAAAGTGACTAGGGATAAAACTTATGATAGAATCTAAATCTATAAACGATATTGTGTCTAGATATAGATAATAGCGATCATGTTTCTATTTTATTTAATAGTTCATGTTACCACGTAGGCCTAAATAAATAATTAAAGTAGGCCTACAACCTCAGTAATATTATCAGTTTACTAATTTTCAAACATTAAAAACCAAACAATAATTAAACTGTGAAGGCCTACATACATATTTAAGTGTAACAAAAATCTGTTCCCCCACTTAAGAGAAAGGACAGAGCCAACTTTCTATAAAAGCCAGCTTGTAAGACGGAGATGATATAAAAAAAAAAACATGGACTTACACAAAACAAGATTTGATAGTTTATTGATACCAATAGAGTTTATCAAAAATAATCAGACAAGCCATGGTGAGCTATAAAGAATTGAAGCCAAACAGAAAGAATGAAAAAGTGACTTACCCTATAAGTAGGTTCATAGCTCTCTGACTCAGCATATCTGGTGTTGGCTGTTAGGGTGGGGGCAGTGTCCTCTCCTGACCCATGACGGTTTTTGGCTGAACTGCTATTTCCCATAATAATCTAGATCATTTCAACACTTAGTTAATGCTATTTCCCATAATAATCTAGATCATTTCAACACTTAGTTAATGCTATTTCCCATAATAATCTAGATCATTTCAACACTTAGTTAATGCTATTTCCCATAATAATCTAGATCATTTCAACACTTAGTTAATGCTATTTCCCATAATAATCTAGATCATTTCAACACTTAGTTAATGCTATTAACCATAATAATCTAGATCATTTCAACACTTAGTTAATGCTATTTCCCATAATAATCTAGATAATTTCAACACTTAGTTAATGCTATTTCCCATAATAATCTATATCATTTCAACACTTAGTTAATGCTATTTCCCATAATAATCTAGATCATTTCAACACTTAGTTAATGCTATTTCCCATAATAATCTAGATCATTTCAACACTTAGTTAATGCTATTTCCCATAATAATCTAGATCATTTCAACACTTAGTTAATGCTATTTCCCATAATAATCTAGATCATTTCAACACTTAGTTAATGCTATTTCCCATAATAATCTAGATCATTTCAACACTTAGTTAATGCTATTTCCCATAATAATCTAGATCATTTCAACACTTAGTTAATGCTATTAACCATAATAATCTAGATCATTTCAACACTTAGTTAATGCTATTTCCCATAATAATCTAGATAATTTCAACACTTAGTTAATGCTATTTCCCATAATAATCTATATCATTTCAACACTTAGTTAATGCTATTTCCCATAATAATCTAGATCATTTCAACACTTAGTTAATGCTATTTCCCATAATAATCTAGATCATTTCAACACTTAGTTAATGCTATTTCCCATAATAATCTAGATCATTTCAACACTTAGTTAAAAAAAACATTCATACAGGCCCCTACTATTTTATATTTAGTAGCCCTAAACCAAACCATAGCATTCTGTGACAGTAAGTCTACTCATAATTCAACAAGTTAAAAGCTACCATTACTACTAACTCTGGCCTTCTCAACTTTCATTGATAGCCAGTATCAAATTAAGTTAGACTTGCACAAATAAACAGCTATTAATGATTTGATAATTATATTTTCTTAATAACCTGCAATAGACTGCAAAGCCGGACTAGACTAATTATTTGACAAACAATTAAAATGCAATTAGCCTAGGCCTACAAAAAATGACATTTAAATAGCATTTAGAATATAGATCTAGATCTTATAGCTTTACACTTAGCCTATGGGAAGCAATGCAATTTTGTTTTTTAAATTAAGCACACTCCAAGTTTATGATAAGTGTGTTGCATAGACAGCTAGTAAATTAGTTAGGCCTAGGGCTATTCAATTTAAGAATTCTTACTGAGCCCAACTCTACAGTCTACAACACAGATCTACTTTACTAGACCTAGATTAAGCTATAGGGCATAGGCCTAGACCTAGATCTATGTAGTTTAATTAGAAAACGAATCTTATTTAGATCTAGATCTAGATCTAGATATCTTTTAATTAGGCCTAGGCCTAATTCTCTAGCAAAACTAAATAAAAACAAGTTGGACCACCGGTGGATTCTAAAATCAAGATCCGATCAGTAACAATAATCAATGCAATAATAGGCCAAATAAAACAATTGTGGTGTCTCATTGAAAGTGATTAAGTAATTACTAACTTCAAGGCTAATTAGTAATTAGCTTAATTAGTTTTAATTAGGCTCTACATTTTAAATAATAACCCGAGTCATTTACAAATTTTACTAAAATTCTAACTCTAACGTGACAATTTTAAAATAATAATTTAAAATTTTTTTAGGCCTATAGGCCTAATATTAAATATTAAAATAAACCAGGCCTACTGAATTATGCTAGAATCTAGATCTATGTAGATCTACTTGATGGACTATCACAACTTAATAACTGTATTCGCGGGTGACAATTGCTCACTGGTCACAATATGTCAGCCCAGCACTCAGTATTGATGTAAACAACTACACCTCGCAAACTCGTGCCTGGTGGAGACTCGCGGGACAAACTAGATTTCTATCTCTGCTTGAATGATGACTGCGCAGCAATACGTAACACAGTAATTCGCCTTTAATAATAATAGAAGTAGAACAAAAAGTACTTCATGTTATAACCTTGTATTAATGCTTATTTCCTGACACAGGAAAAAGATGAATGAAGATGCTATCCCTCAGTTAAAAATACAGAAAGTCTAAAATATTGCGTCACTTGCATGGCTTTCACAAGAAAACTATTAGTTCATCTAGCCTAACTCTTCTGAGAGCGTAAACAAAAATGGTGGATCATGTGGCGAGATTCCACGCATTATGGGATACTATTAATCGGCTTTCTTCGTGTTTGTAAATAGGCCAATCGTTTTTTAGTAGAAATGGCAAATCGGAAATATTTAGTATTCCGAAGTTCATTATTTGTGTTCGTGTGTCACCGTAAGTAAACAGAAAAGCACGTGCTACAGCGTGTTTATTAGTCTGGAAATAAAAATACTATGTCGGCTCTTGCTGTGACTAGATTACTATTAACCACATTAGGCCCCATATATATATATATATATATATAGAGAGAGAGAGATATATATATATATATATATATATATATATATATATATTAGATCTCGGGACCAAGCAAAATTAATTTTATTGAGGGAGAAAATCATTAGGCCTACTCTTCCATTATTATAAAAGCGAAATGTTTTGATTCGAGGCGGTTGAAATTTGTAGTTTTTCGCAAAGTGCTTTTTCACTTGCATAACAACAAATTCGATGTACTTGACAACAGCGTCGAAAATCGAAAATTCTTAGAATTTTAAATATTGCTGTCAGAACAATGATTTATCCAGTTTACAAAATAAAATAGCAAGGGAGAGGGGAGACACGAGACCGAAAATGCAAAGTTGGTGGAGGGGACACCCCCAGTTACTGCACAGCGTGACACCCAAGCAACAGGTGCATCATGTTGTCGTATAAGGACATGAATAGCAGAGTCCATTATTCGGAATCAAGCGCTGTGCAGTTCAACTGTAAAGCAGACAGTGTTTCTTCCAGATTTCTTTTCTTCGGGGGGGGGGGGGGGCGGTCAACATTTTTCGGCGGGGGACGGGGGGACGGACACTAGTAAAAGTGTATGTTTACTATAACAATTCCATCTCTCGTTCGGGGGGGGGGGGGTAGACTTTCTTCAGAGCCCCCCCCCCCCCCCCCCCCCCCCCCCCCCGAAGAGATGCCTGGAAGAAACTGCAGAGCTTAAGTGATTCGGGTTTCCGTCACCGAATTGGTGCGCACCCTTTTCACTTCAGTTTCACTCGGCCCTTCTGAACTTTATCATATTCATGGCTCATACATTCCAGTTTGTTCATTTGGGAATTTCGAGGTCACGATGACATTCCTTCTACGACGCGTTCGTTTAATCGCGAAGGCTGAACACCGTAGAAGATAATTTAAAAAAACAAAAAAAAAAAACTAGAGTACAATATAATATAATGTTATATGGGCACAGGCTAGCTCTGTTTCGGATGTTTTTTTAACATTTTTTTCTGGCAATACAGAAACATTCTTCCGGGATAAACTTGTAAAGAAAACAACCCTAAACATAGCCATAGGCTTAAGTTTTAACCCATTTGGCATTTCTTTAGGCTAATTAGATCTAGTAATTATTAAAAAATAGAATAGATGGTATTAGATCTAGATCTAGCCATCAAAAAACTAATGGGTGTAATAAGAATTTTATTTTTACATTTCTACTGATTACTGAAAGATCTAGGCCCTAGGCCCTGATGATTAGCGTAGCCTAATGTTCTAACTACTATACTAGACTACTAGATATATGTACTAATGTAGATAGTAGAGTTAGTAGTACTATCCTAGATCTGAGATCAGCAACTATCTAGATCTAGCTAGGCCTATCTATCTAGTAAAAAATAGTATCTTATGTATTATAATATCTATTCACTGACTTGTATTTTATGCGGTAATCTATCGTTTTAGGTACGTAAAATTGCCTGCGACTTGTAATGTGAAAAACAGGTGACTCCTTAAATTTTAATAATTATTTCACATTTTGAGGAGGATTTATGGGGATAATTTTTAAAATACAAAAATGTTTCCTTGTTTCATTTATGTACCTGTTTTTAAACAATTGAATTAAAACTTCAGTAATAAACGAAGACTAGCTATGTTTCCAACCGATGCAACCGTGCTCATTTACTATAGGAGCCATCTTGTTTATTTTTTTTTATTGTAAACTTATAGTGCAAGATTCAAAGGAAGCCACTCTAACTTACAGATGGCCGCTTTTTATATACCTAGCAAATCCTGCTTGCAAACACTGCTGTTTAAAGTTAATTTCCTGCCTATATTGATATATTTAGCCATTGAGTTAGGTTTATTATTCATTTAGCTATAATATTTGACACAAATATATCACAACATACTTCTATTAAAGCCTTGACAATGAGGTAACTTTTTTGTACATTACTAGCCGCGGGCGATTTTACGTACCTAAAACAATAGATTACCACCTATGCTTATACCTAGTTTAAGTATAAGTCAGTAGTATAAGAGTATAAGTTAATTAGTTGATTATCAACTTGATGGTTACAGTTAGTGTAAGGTCTAATACTACTAATAATAATTAATAGTTAGCCCTAACTAATAATAGTTAATAAACTAACTAATTAAGCCCTAGTTATTAATTACTTTAATTAGTAATAATTAGACTAATATTAAATTTGTTATTCAGTGTTATCTGATAATGATAGATTTAGACCTATAGTAATCTATCGGTTTAGATTAGGTCCGTAAAAATTGGCCGGGGTTAGTATAGTATTAGTATAATATAATAGTAATGATTTGAAAGAAAGGTGATAATTAGCCTGCTACAATTAGATATTTAGATCCTCTTTAAGCCTATAATGCCTAAAATCTAGGCCTTGTCATTAGGCTTAGGGCCTATACAAAATAAATAAATTTAAATCTTAATTCATATTCTTGATCAACTTAATTAATAATAATTAAGTATATTACTTAACTATCTAGATGCATCCCGTGTATCCTACAAACTGATCAAGACTCTAGAATAATACTTAGCCCTATTTATACAATATAATATCTGTAGAGTATAGATCTAGATTTACTTATTATCATGGCTCCTCCCCCTTTTTATTGACTTTGTATTGTTTTTCACAGCCTACGTAAAATTACAGCTTCTGAGGTTGGGCATAAAAAAATATTAAAATAAGGCTTTCGCAGCATGTGTGAACAATGTGTGAGGGAAGAATTCCCAGATAGAGTAAGTTAAAGTTAGAATTTATTTATAATTGTAGTATAGGCCTATAGCTCTTGTTGTATAAAAAGTGTAACTATGCTGTGACCCCTCTGTGACCCCTCTGTTATTGCAGGACTCGCTGTGTGTTGACCAGGGCTCCTATATGATAAACTTTTTCAAATGTTGTCAGTGTCATGCACAAGAGATAAAAAACATCAACAGAAACTGCACTGAAACAAAAAATGAAGAAGTAATCACATATCAACGTAGGTGTCTTGTGTATTTTTTATTTACTCTCTTGAGATGAATAGATTTTCCAAACAAATTTTTTGAAATTTTTGTTTGCAAAATTTAATAACTGCATGTTTTTACAATTCTTTTTATAATCTGTATTAGGCTAACAATATACTATACATTTTTCACAGTAGATAATGAATTGTTCAGTGAAACCAACAAGTTAAATTTAAACTGACAAATTTAAACTGACAAATTTAAACTGACAAATTTAAACTGACAAATTTAAACTGACAAATTTAAACTGACAAATTTAAACTGACAAATTTAAACTGACAAATTTAAACTGACAAATTTAAACTGACAAATTTAAACTGACAAATTTAAACTGACAAATTTAAACTGACAAATTTAAACTGGCAAATTTAAACTGGCAAATTTAAACTGGCAAATTTAAACTGACAAATTTAAACTGACAAATTTAAACTGGCAAATTTAAACTGACAAATTTAAACTGACTCCATTTGTCCTATCCTCTACATCTGGCGCCATTTGTCCTATCCTCTACATCTGGCGCCATTCGCTTTCAGATGTTTGCAGCAATTGTACTCACGTCATAGCTGAACATGAACACATATTTAGAGTGGAGGGAGAATTTCAGGTAGGTTTCATGTCACATGGCATTTCAAGTTACATGACAGTTATTTTTGTCTTTCATTTCAATTTGATTAGTCCTGCAAAATGCTGTGAGTTATGTGTGTCCCCCCCCCCTCCATCAACTCCATCAGTTGTGGTGTCCCCTCCAGGTGTACGAGATGTCCTGCCTGCTCTGTGGCTCAGCTGACGACCAACGCAGCATTATGCCAGTTGACCCCAGAGGGCCAGTCATGTGACAGGATCCAGAAGTTGTCGGCCCATGTGACTGGTCATGTGACTGGTCATGTGACTGGAGTGAGCCAGTGGTAAAGATCAGGCTAAGCTGGTAGAAGGAACCATATTGTATTGCTGTAGACTTGTCTTGGTTGGGTGTGTTTGCTACACTCATTCATTGCTGATGTGTGTGGTACACAAGTGTGTGTGTGGTACACATGTCTGTGGTATACAAGTGTGTGTGTGTGTGGTACACAATTGTGTGTGTGTGGTACCCAAGTGTGTGTAGCAAAGTTAACTGCTGGAATGCAGCCTACTATGTAATGAATGTTTAAAAGCCTTGCTTTAAATGATTTAATTTTTGTAAAAATATTATTAATTAAAGAATTTCTTAAAAATCTTTTGAATTTTATGTTTTTATTTTAATGTATGAGATGTTCTGTATTCTGATTGATACATGTTGGTCCAAAAACTTTGTCAAAAAATTTGTCATATTTTATTGCCCATTCTTCTTGTTATTCCAAACTACAACACCAACATGTACGGCTCCCCACATAAGCAAGTGAAAGGTTCAACTCTAGAACTTGATGGCTTTACCAGGTTCAACGTTGAAGGTTACCCACTGTCTGAATGTTTGCTGCTACAGAAATGACTGGATTATTGGGCAACCAAGTCAATCTTTTATTGAGAACAATTGTGCAAAGAAAAATAATTCACCAATTTTAATGTCGTACAGAAATTGAAAGAGAAAATACGGATATATAATATGTGTACATGTGTATAAATGAATAAATAAATAAATATATATATATATATATACACACATTTCGTAAGCTGTATAATGAGTAAAATTTTAGCAGTTAAAAGATACAACTTTACAAAAGTTAAGTAAAATAGACATTGAAATAATGTGAGCACACCAAATAAATTTAAAATACTGGCGTCAGTATAACAGGGATATGAGTATGACTAGCTGGTTAAGGTGAGCCAAATATGCCACAGGTCATGATGACCTATAATCCAAGATACAGCTAGACTTCGTCACAGCTAAATTATATTTTAGACAAGTCACCAGATCAGTCATTACAGGGGAGTTAACTCTGTGTGTCACTCCCATAGAGACATTTATTCGGTTATTTCCCTTACAACAATTATTTGCAGCTAACCTATTGGTAACAAAATGTCTTATAAATATATATAATTTCTTAGATGATTTATAAAAAGAAAACTATGTACAAGAGACACGTGAGCATACAGCAGTTGATTGCAACCCCCCCCCCCCCACATCAGAGTCGAGCGTGTATGGCTGACTCCAGTCATGTGACCGACTCAGCTAACGCCATCTCATTTGCCGAAGTTCCGGCTCTACAGTTTAACCGGCAGCTGAGAGCCGGCCAACGTACAAATAGATACATTGGATCTTAGAGATCCATCTAAGCCGAGTCTACAAGTGACGTCACGGCATGACGTCATTCATTCAAGTTTTTTAGGCACGTGACGGCCTGTGATGTTGGCCGCGTGACAGCCTGTGATGTTGGCCACGTGTCAGACTGTGATGTTGGCCACGTGACAGCCTGTGATGTTGGCCACGTGACGGCCTGTGATGTTGGCCACGTGACAGCCTGTGATGTTGGCCACGTGACAGCCTGTGATGTTGGCCACGTGACAGCCTGTGATGTTGGCCACGTGACAGACTGTGATGTTGGCCACGTGACAGCCTGTGATGTTGGCCACGTGACAGCCTGTGATGTTGGCCACGTGACAGCCTGTGATGTTGGCCACGTGACAGCCTGTGATGTTGGCCACGTGACAGCCTGTGATGTTGGCCATGTGACAGACTGTGATGTTGGCCATGTGACAGACTGTGATGTTGGCCACGTGACAGCCTGTGATGTTGGCCACGTGACAGCCTGTGATGTTGGCCACGTGACAGCCTGTGATGTTGCCTGATGAAATGTACGTGCAGGCAAACAACCTTTGTCTCACAGGGCTCAGGTCAACATCAGCTAGATCACGTGACTCCCGTGTCAACATATTCCACAGTCAACATATTCCACAAACACTGTTCACACCCCTCCCCCCCCCCTACGATACAAACATCTACAATATGTGTGTATGTGTGTTCAGGGGCAGACAACCCGTGTGTCCAGACAAACCAATAAGCAAAGTTTTCTCTCCCCTGGCCGATGCCGTGCTGAATTATCGGAGCTAATTGCCAGCGGCGAGTTTATGACGTCATGTAAGGAAAAATTACGTATGTAATTTAAATGTTGTGCGTGTCGTATAAGGAATCGTAGGCGATTGGAGTTTATGGGGTGGGTGGGGGAGCATCTGGTTGCAGACGTTGGAAAAAAAAAGTGGGGGGGAGGGGCGCGGAGAGGCTGTTCACGTGTCTTTGGATGAATTATCCCCCTTTGTTTAGCACTAAAGCACTCCGGCCTTAACGTATGAGTGTCCCGGCAATACTGCAGCCATCTTTTATCTGGCACGTGGCTGGGCGTCCTAGCTTTATTGACCGATTTATCAGATTGCCAGACTTGCCAGGAATTGAATATTTATCAATGTATCCTCTCCCCCCCCCCCCCCCCCCTCCCTCACTAATCGCTTACCTGAAGATCGTGCCACAGTCCCAGCAGTCTAAAACCCGATCTAATCAAACTGACTAAAGCTGCTGCCCTGTCAGACATCTAACGCTTCCGTCACCAACCAGAGCTGCCAGGTTTCTGGCCCAACGAATGTCTAAATAACGTGCCGGCCATTGGTGGGTTTACACTCATCTACAGCCTTCGTTTTTACATGAGGAAAGTCAGCCAAGTCATGGATATACAAGTCAGCTAAGTCATGGATCTACAAGTCAGCTAAGTCATGCATCTACAAGTCAAGCGAAGTCACACACAGTATAAAGATTGAGCATCGGATGACTGGAGTAATAAAACTGGAGTGATCTCCCCTAAACTTTCTCCTCTGTTCGTATAGAACAGTGAGGGTTGGGGTGGCACTTCCGGTGGAATCGGGCGATAGAAACGGCTGTCACACACACACACACACACACACACACACAAACGGCAGGTAAGTTTGTCACACACACACACACACACAAACGGCAGGTTAGTTTGTCACACACACACACACACACGGCAGGTAAGTTTATCACACACACACACACACAAACTGCAGGTAAGTTTGTCACACACACACACACACACAAACACACACTGACGCTCATTTTTTTTTCTCGAGAAAACATATAAAGGTGAAAAGTGTTTAGAATAGGACTCTTCATAGGATAATGGCATGGGAAAATATCAAATGATGAAGAAAGGAAATAGATTTCAAGTAACATTTCCTGTTTCCTGAAATCGCTGAAAAGTATATGGAAATCTACGTACAGGATGTAAACATTATTTATGAAATTTCGTCAACCTAACTGATACGGTATTGAAGTTATCGTGTTTACAAACACACGCACACACATATACACACACATACAGACAAGATTGCAACATTAAGTTTTCCCTCATCAGAAGGTTTAGACCGTCGAGATTTGTCCAAAACTCCATGTCGACTTTGTGCAGGATTACTATACAGCCTTTATAGTCCGTATACGGAAAGTAGAAACAGTCAAACCGGATGTTGAGACAGATGACGTCACGCGTGCCTTCTCGACAGTCTTAGTTTAAAGATGGCGCCAAAGACAAGGCACTTCAAGGTCAGCACAACTGGATGCGAGAAGTGTTTCAAGGTCAAGCTGACCTAATTCTCTGGTCTGGTCAATCACGTGACCAGTTTTTTGTCTACTGGAATGTTTGATCCCGTTAGAAATGTAGACTTGAACTTTGCACTGTATCGGAATAAACCAATCAAATCCTCTGTCAGCATTACGTCAGCGGGTCCCGCCTGGACCCACACGGGTCAGTCTTGGTGTCGTGAGACACGGCGCATCGGATTTCAAAAGTTGGACTTCCGTTTTCAGTGGTGGCTCGGGCGGATATGACGTCATCGGCTCCGTCTGGAGCGGCAGACGGCAGGTCAGGATTGGAGGGTAAAGCTGGAGCTAAACTTATGCTGAAACTTTTGCTTAGCTCTGGCTGCAGAAATAGACATTGGTTGGCACACTCGTTAGAAACATTTCAGTGGAAGAACTAACAACAACTACAGATACAACATCTCAGTGGAAGAACTAACAACAACTACAGATGCAACATCTCAGTGGAAGAACTAACAACAACTACAGATGCAACATATCAGTGGAGGAACTAACAACAACTACAGTCAGTGGCGTAGCGAGGTCGGGTGTCACCCGGTGCGGCACTTAATGGTGTCACCCCACCCCCAGAGGCGTAGCGACCCTTCCCGGGGACAAACTTTCAAATTTTTTATTTGCACCCCCCCCCCCTCAAACTTTCGATTTGCACCCCCCCCCCCCCCCTCAAACTTTCGATTTGCACCCCCCCCCTCAAGTTTTTCTCTATATATTTTGCTATTTTTTGCCTTGGTGTCACCCCCCTAAATGGTGTCACCCGGTGCGGTCCGCACCCCCGCCCCCCCCCTCGCTACGCCCCTGACTACAGTTACAACATATCAGTGGAAGAGCTAACAACAACTACAGATAAAACATCTCAGTGGAAGAGCTAACAACAACTACAGATAAAACATATCAGTGGAAGAACTAACAACAACTACAGATGCAACATCTCAGTGGAAGAGCTAACAACAACTACAGATAAAACATCTCAGTGGAAGAGCTAACAACAACTACAGATAAAACATCTCAGTGGAAGAGCTAACAACAACTACAGATAAAACATCTCAGTGGAAGAGCTAACAACAACTACAGATAAAACATCTCAGTGGAAGAGCTAACAACAACTACAGATAAAACATCTCAGTGGAAGAGCTAACAACAACTACAGATAAAACATATCAGTGGAAGAGCTAACAACAACTACAGATAAAACATCTCAGTGGAAAAACTAACAACAACTACAGATGCAACATATCAGTGGAAGAACTAACAACAACTAAAGATACAACATATCAGTGGAAGAACTAACAACAACTACAGATGCAACATATCAGTGGAAGAACTAACAACAACTACAGATACAACATATCAGTGGAAGAACTAACAACAACTACAGATGCAACATATCAGTGGAAGAACTAACAACAACTACAGATGCAACATATCAGTGGAGGAACTAACAACAACTACAGATGCAACATATCAGTGGAGGAACTAACAACAACTAAAGATGCAACATATCCGTGGAAGAACTAACAACAACTACAGATGCAACATATCAGTGGAGGAACTAACAACAACTAAAGATGCAATAAAAACAACAGCAACAAAAGCATAAAAATATCAGCGACGGCAACAACAACACCAGCAACATAAGAGCACCATCAACAGCAACAACAACAGCATCAACAACAATAGATGCAACAGCATCAATGAATGAAGGAGTGTTAAATAATGTGGATCAAACACAACAACGTGACGTCAGTTCATCAAACGGAACATTTGACATCATTTAAGCCCCACCCCCTTTTTAAAAAATCATGTTTTTAATCGCCTTCTCTTATTTGATATTCTGAACAGCGGGAAATCGATATTTATTGGGAGAAAAATCAATAAATCGAAAGTTGGGTTTAACGGCTGGGATGGGTTGGGTTTAGCGGCTGGGATGAATTGGGCTGACCTATTGACCTATTGACCTATTTGCATATGAATGCGCCGCCATGTTGTCGTCACGGCCCAGTGAACCAGAACATTGTCACGTGACCCCCACAGACGCTGACTGTGACCCCAGTTGACCCCTGCATGACTTTAGACCCCATCATAGACAGCTGTAAAAGTGGGCGTGGCTAGGGTTTCTTGCTGTCATAAATTATCACGTGATGACAGTGATGTCATGTGATGTCAGATTCATAAGTTTATTGAATGTTACTTTAACATCAAGTTTCGTCAAATTACAACCCCACCCCCCAACCTGGACCCCGCCCCTCGTGTTCTGTTTGCTTAGGGCTGCTCTGTGGGAGGGGCAGACATACTACCTCCACCCATCTGTACATTGAGTTGACCAACAATAAGGGGGGGGGGGGCAGACGGATGACCAAATAAAGAGGGGGGGGGGGCAGACGGATGACCAAATAAAGAGGGGGGGGGGGCAGACGGATGACCAAATAAAGAGGGGGGGGCAGACAGATGACCAAATAAAGAGGGGGGGGCAGACAGATGAGCAAGAAGAGGGGGTGGGGCAGACAGATGACCAAAAAGAGGGGGGGGGGGGCAGACAGATGAGCAAGAAGAGGGGGGTGGGGCAGACAGATGAGCAAGAATAGGGGGGTGGGGCAGACAGATGAGCAAGAAGTGGGGGGTGGGGCAGACAGATGAGCAAGAAGTGGGGGGTGGGGCAGACAGATGAGCAAGAAGAGGTGGGTGGGGCAGACAGATGAGCAAGAAGAGGTGGGTGGGGCAGACAGATGAGCAAGAAGTGGGGGGTGGGGCAGACAGATGAGCAAGAAGTGGGGGGTGGGGCAGACGTACCTACCCCCAAGCGTTTGATGGTGCTCCGCTCCACCTTGTGTGCCTTGGCCACCATGGTGTCAGTGATGTAGCGGTAGACGAGCGAGAGGTAGGCCAGTCCCAGCAGGATCCAGACGTAGGCGAACACCTCGTAGAACTCGTGCACGTAGACGTTGTCAAACCGCGTCTCGTGGATGCCTGCAACACACAAGGTCAAGGTCAAGGCGTCTAGTTCTTGGCTCGTGCTAGTGAGTCATGTGACAGGGGGCCACGCCTGATTGGTTGTGTTGGCTCGTGCTAGCTGGTCATGTGACAGGGGGCCACGCCTGATTGGTTGTGTTGGCTCGTGTGACCCCTGTGTGACCCCTGTGTGACCCATTCCATCATTAACTCGTGTGGGTTGTTTTTAATTGACCAGATTCCAACTTGAACTAATTAACGGTGTCAATTAGTACTTAATGAAGTGTTGCAATAAAATAATTAAAGCTAAGGTAGTATTTTTAGAGGAAACGGATTATGTGATGTCAGCCCCCCCCCCCCTATCTACAATATTTAGCCCGACAAAGAGCCACAAGCCAACAACACCAGCTAATTAGAAAACAAACGCCGCCAGCTATTTGTTGTCAACACGTGACTAACACGTGACAAACAATTTCAAGATTCCCCATCAACTTAGCTAGGACATGAAGACTGGCGTTTTTTATTTAATCGCGCTTATTAATTCTTGCTGTGTTTTAGAATTAAATGACGTAATCGCCGCGTCAAACAATTCACCAATGACGTCAGCAAACGTCAAAGAACTCACCAATGACGTCAGCAAACGTCAAATAACTCACCAATGACGTCACTAAACATCAAAGAACTCACCAATGACGTCACTAAACGTCAAAGAACTCACCAATGACGTCACCAAACGTCAAAGAACTCACCAATGACGTAATCCCCGAAGCCGATGGTGCTGAGGGTGGTGAAGGCGAAGTAGAGTGACTCGAGGAAGTGCCACTGCTCCACGTAGGTCAACATGCCCGCGGGGGCGATGAAGATGACGGCCACGCCCATGATGACCACGTAGAAGATGTTCAACATCCGGTTCACCTGGGGACAGGCAGGGGGGGGGGGTTAGTGGGGGTCAAGTTGTTGGGGTGGGTCAAGTTGTTGGGGTGGGTCAAGTTGTTGGGGTGGGTCAAGTTGTTGGGGTGGGTCAACTTGTTGGGGTGGGTCAAGTTGTAGGGGTGGGTCAAGTTGTTGGGGTGGGTCAAGTTATTGGGGTGGGTCAAGTTGTAGGGGTGGGTCAAGTTGTAGGGGTGGGTCAAGTTATTGGGGTGGGTCAAGTTGTTGGGGTGGGTCAACTTGTTAGGGTGGGTCAACTTGTTGGGGTGGGTCAAGTTGTTGGGGTGGGTCAAGTTGTAGGGGTGGGTCACGTTGTTGGGGTGGGTCACGTTGTTGGGGTGGGTCAAGTTGTTGGGGTGGGTCAAGTTGTTGGGGTGGGTCAAGTTGTTGGGGTGGGTCACGTTGTTGGGGTGGGTCACGTTGTTGGGGTGTGTAAAGTTGTTGGGGTGGGTAAAGTTGTTGGGGTGGGTCAAGTTGTTGGGGTGGGTCAAGTTGTAGGGGTGGGTCAAGTTGTAGGGGTAGGCCACGTTTTATTTAAAAGACAGAGAAAACCTATATAAGGAAACTTGTAGCAGACACATAGACAGGAGACACATACAGCAGACACATAGACAGGAGACACACACAGCATGAGGTCGCCAGTGTTGTATTGTAGGTCACATGACCGGATGTACCAGACAAGCACGTGACCACCAGTAGATGTGGGGGTGGAGTGGTAGTGGATGTGGGGGTGGAGTGGGGTGACCACAGCGGGAGACTGCTGGTTTAAAAAGCTGACAAGAAAACCACGTTAGCTGGTGTTGTCTGACTCATTGATTTTTTTTTGTCTTGTCTCTGTCAAAGTTTGATTGGTTCTCAATGTCTGGCCGTCCATTGGTCTCACGCGATGGACGGCCAAAAAATGTGTTAAATCGGGTTAATTGGCGGTTGGTTAGAAGTCGGTCACGTGGTTCCCGTGACGGAGTGAAACCGCTGACTCATCACTGGGTGGTGGCGACATCTGGTGACCATCTTGTTCTTGTTCATTAGTTTTTTACTTTCTCGTATATACCAAGTGTAGAGAAAGTCTTGTAATCGTGCACACAAAAATCTCGACGTTTTACACCTCACTGATACGGAAAACAATTTTGCAATCTTGTCCGTATGTCTGTGTGTCTGTCTGTGTGTCTCTGTGTGTGTGTAAACATGATAACTTGAGTACCGTTACAGCTAGGTTAATGACATTTCATAAATAAGTATTTTATCAAAATCGTAGATCCGTATCAACTTTTTGAGCGATTTCCGATAACCGGAAGTGGTACTTATTCACTTTGAATTTTTCAAAAGCCTATAACTTGAGTACTATTTCAGATAGATAAATGAAATTTCACACGTAAGTAAAAGATCGAGTCCTCTACCTTCTATCAAATTTTGAGTAATTTCCGTTGACCGGAAGTAGTAATTTACGCTATTTCCAATTTCTCAAAAAACGCTTGTAAATTTATAAAGTACTAATAATATTCCGCACTATTTTGCACATTTGTTTTGGCGTTCGCTTGGAGAGCAATTCTTTTTTCTATGAGATTCTATTCTATTTTAAAAAGTTTAAGTATTTAAAATGGATTAAAAATCTTGTCTATATCCCGAGTTCCCATCCCCTGTTGTTTTATATAAGAATATTCGAGAAAGTTTAGGGGAGATTACTCCCGGTTTATTTGTATTTATTAACGACTTGACACAGCCGTGGACCAGACAGGGTAGAAGAGCCAGGCACTCAGTTAGGGTAGGGGTGGACCGTACAGTAGGGGTGGACCGGGCAGTAGGGGTGGACCGGGCAGTAGGGGTGGACCGGACAGTAGGGGTGGACCGGACAGTAGGGGTGGACCGGACAGTTGAGGCGGCAGGACAGTAGGGGTGGACCGGACAGTAGGGGTGGACCGGACAGTAGGGGTGGACCGGGCAGTAGGGGTGGACCGGACAGTAGAGGTGGACCGGACAGTAGAGGTGGACCGGACAGTAGGGGTGGACCGGACAGTAGAGGTGGACCGTCAGTAGAGGTGGCCGGACAGTAGGGGTGGACCGGACAGTAGGGGTGGACCGGACAGTAGAGGTGGACCGGACAGTAGAGGTGGACCGTCAGTAGAGGTGGCCGGACAGTAGGGGTGGACCGGACAGTAGGGGTGGACCGGACAGTAGGGGTGGACCGGACAGTAGAGGTGGACCGGACAGTAGGGGTGGACCGGACAGTAGAGGTGGACCGGACAGTAGAGGTGGACCGTCAGTAGAGGTGGCCGGACAGTAGGGGTGGACCGGACAGTAGGGGTGGACCGGACAGTAGGGGTGGACCGGACAGTAGAGGTGGACCGGACAGTAGGGGTGGACCGGACAGTAGAGGTGGACCGGACAGTAGAGGTGGACCGGACAGTAGGGGTGGACCGGACAGTAGGGGTGGACCGGACAGTAGGGGTGGACCGGACAGTAGGGGTGGACCGGACAGTAGAGGTGGACCGGACAGTAGAGGTGGACCGGACAGTAGGGGTGGACCGGACAGTAGAGGTGGACCGGACAGTAGGGGTGGACCGGACAGTAGGGGTGGACCGGACAGTAGGGGTGGACCGGACAGTAGGGGTGGACCGGACAGTAGAGGTGGACCGGACAGTAGGGGTGGACCGGACAGTAGGGGTGGACCGGACAGTAGGGGTGGACCGGACAGTAGGGGTGGACCGGACAGTAGAGGTGGACCGGACAGTAGGGGTGGACCGGACAGTAGGGGTGGACCGGACAGTAGGGGTGGACCGGACAGTAGGGGTGGACCGGACAGTAGGGGTGGACCGGACAGTAGGGGTGGACCGGACAGTAGGGGTGGACCGGACAGTAGGGGTGGACCGGACAGTAGGGGTGGACCGGACAGTAGGGGTGGACCGGACAGTAGGGGTGGACCGGACAGTAGGGGTGGACCGGACAGTAGAGGTGGACCGGACAGTAGGGGTGGACCGGACAGTAGGGGTGGACCGGACAGTAGGGGTGGACCGGACAGTAGGGGTGGACCGGACAGTAGGGGTGGACCGGACAGTAGAGGTGGACCGGACAGTAGGGGTGGACCGGACAGTAGGGGTGGACCGGACAGTAGGGGTGGACCGGACAGTAGGGGTGGACCGGACAGTAGGGGTGGACCGGACAGTAGGGGTGGACCGGACAGTAGGGGTGGACCGGACAGTAGGGGTGGACCGGACAGTAGGGGTGGACCGGACAGTAGGGGTGGACCGGACAGTAGGGGTGGACCGGACAGTAGGGGTGGACCGGACAGTAGGGGTGGACCGGACAGTAGGGGTGGACCGGACAGTAGAGGTGGACCGGACAGTAGGGGTGGACCGGACAGTAGGGGTGGACCGGACAGTAGGGGTGGACCGGACAGTAGGGGTGGACCGGACAGTAGGGGTGGACCGGACAGTAGAGGTGGACCGGACAGTAGGGGTGGACCGGACAGTAGGGGTGGACCGGACAGTAGGGGTGGACCGGACAGTAGGGGTGGACCGGACAGTAGGGGTGGACCGGACAGTAGGGGTGGACCGGACAGTAGGGGTGGACCGGACAGTAGGGGTGGACCGGACAGTAGGGGTGGACCGGACAGTAGGGGTGGACCGGACAGTAGGGGTGGACCGGACAGTAGGGGTGGACCGGACAGTAGGGGTGGACCGGACAGTAGGGGTGGACCGGACAGTAGGGGTGGACCGGACAGTAGGGGTGGACCGGACAGTAGGGGTGGAGCGGACAGTAGGGGTGGACCGGACAGTAGAGGTGGACCGTCAGTAGAAGAAGTTAGGGTAGGGGTAGACCGGACAGTAGGGGTGGACCGGACAGTAGGGGTGGACCGGACAGTAGGGGTGGACCGGACAGTAGGGGTGGACCGGACAGTAGAGGTGGACCGTCAGTAGAAGAAGTTAGGGTAGGGGTAGACCGGACAGTAGGGGTGGACCGGACGGTAGAAGAAGTTAGGGTAGGGGTGGACCGGACAGTAGGGGTGGACCGGACAGTACGGGTGGACCGGACGGTAGGGGTGGACCGGACAGTAGGGGTGGACCGGACGGTAGGGGTGGACCGTCAGTAGAGGTGGACCGGGCAGTAGGGGTGGACCGGACAGTAGGGGTGGACCGGGCAGTAGGGGTGGACCGGACAGTAGGGGTGGACAGGACAGGACAGTAGGGGTGGACCGGGCAGTAGGGGTGGACCGGACAGTAGAGGTGGACCGGACGGTAGGGGTGGACCGTCAGTAGAGGTGGACCGGGCAGTAGGGGTGGACCGGGCAGTAGGGGTGGACCGGACAGTAGGGGTGGACCGGACAGTAGGGGTGGACCGGACAGTAGGGGTGGACCGGACAGTAGGGGTGGACCGGACAGTAGGGGTGGACCGTCAGTAGAAGAAGTTAGGGTAGGGGTAGACCGGACAGTAGGGGTGGACCGGACAGTAGGGGTGGACCGGACAGTAGGGGTGGACCGGACAGTAGGGGTGGACCGGACAGTAGGGGTGGACCGGACAGTAGAGGTGGACCGTCAGTAGAAGAAGTTAGGGTAGGGGTAGACCGGACAGTAGGGGTGGACCGGACGGTAGGGGTGGACCGGACGGTAGGGGTGGACCGGACGGTAGGGGTGGACCGTCAGTAGAGGTGGACCGGGCAGTAGGGGTGGACCGGACAGTAGGGGTGGACCGGGCAGTAGGGGTGGACCGTCAGTAGAGGTGGACCGGGCAGTAGGGGTGGACCGGACAGTAGGGGTGGACCGGGCAGTAGGGGTGGACCGTCAGTAGGGGTGGACCGTCAGTAGAGGTGGACCGGACAGTAGGGGTGGACCGTCAGTAGGGGTGGACCGTCAGTAGGGTTGGACCGTCAGTAGGGGTGGACCGTCAGTAGGGGTGGACCGTCAGTAGGGGTGGACCGTCAGTAGGGGTGGACCGTCAGTAGGGGTGGACCGTCAGTAGGGGTGGACCGTCAGTAGAGGTGGACCGGACAGTAGGGGTGGACCGTCAGTAGGGGTGGACCGTCAGTAGGGGTGGACCGTCAGTAGGGGTGGACCGGACAGTAGGGGTGGACCGGACAGTAGGGGTGGACCGTCAGTAGAAGAAGTTAGGGTAGGGGTGGACCGTCAGTAGGGGTGGACCGTCAGTAGAAGAAGTTAGGGTAGGGGTGGACCGGACAGTAGGGGTGGACCGGACAGTAGGGGTGGACCGGACAGTAGGGGTGGACCGGACAGTAGGGGTGGACCGGACAGTAGGGGTGGAGCGGACAGTAGGGGTGGACCGGACAGTAGAGGTGGACCGTCAGTAGAAGAAGTTAGGGTAGGGGTAGACCGGACAGTAGGGGTGGACCGTCAGTAGGGGTGGACCGTCAGTAGGGGTGGACCGTCAGTAGGGGTGGACCGTCAGTAGGGGTGGACCGTCAGTAGGGGTGGACCGTCAGTAGAAGAAGTTAGGGTAGGGGTGGACCGTCAGTAGGGGTGGACCGTCAGTAGAAGAAGTTAGGGTAGGGGTGGACCGTCAGTAGGGGTGGACCGTCAGTAGAAGAAGTTAGGGTAGGGGTGGACCGTCAGTAGGGGTGGACCGTCAGTAGAAGAAGTTAGGGTAGGGGTGGACCGGACAGTAGGGGTGGACCGGACAGTAGGGGTGGACCGGACAGTAGGGGTGGACCGGACAGTAGGGGTGGACCGGACAGTAGGGGTGGACCGGACAGTAGAAGATTAGAGTTGAGCCAGGGAGAGAGAACAAGGCCAGTAAACCCTTGCTGGGTGTGGTGGGGTCAGGCGAGACCATGTGTCCCCTACCCTGGGGGGTCCATGTACCTCCTACCCTGGGGCCCCTGTACCCCCTATCCTGGGGCCCATATAGCCCCTACCCTGGGGGCCCAAGTACCCCCTAATATACCGGGGACTGGAGACGATACCGGTGACTGAAGACGATACCGGTGACTGAAGACGATACCGGGGACTGGAGACGATACCGGTGACTGAAGACGATACCGGTGACTGAAGACGATACCGGAGACTGAAGACGATACCGGTGACTGAAGACGATACCGGGGACTCGATTACGTCGGCAAATTTCAATTAAAACCACTAAGCTCTGATGCTTAGGATTTCATATCAGCCGGCGTGACAGTCACGTTATAGTCACGTGACACATGTGATAAATAGCCGCAGCAGACGTGAGCAAATATGTCGTGACGTCAGGTGGTCGGTCGGTACATTCATCATGTTGGCTCATACCCCCCCCCCCCATTGTGGGGCCCGGATGTGTGATACACACAAGGTCATGTGACTTACCCTGGGGGTGTGGTGGCAGTAGGGGTGTCAGGTCATGTGACTCACCCTGGGGTGTCAGGTCATGTGACTCACCCTGGGGTGTCAGGTCATGTGACTCACCCTGGGGGTGTGGTGGCAGTAGGGGTGTCAGGTCATGTGACTCACCCTGGGGTGTCAGGTCATGTGACTCACCCTGGGGGTGTGGTGGCAGTAGGGGTTCTGACACCGTCTGATGGTGTACACGAAGCTGGCCATTTTCTCGCCGATCCCGCCCAGCACCAGCAAGGTCAAGGGTATCCCAAAGATGGCGTACACGACACACACGGCCTTCCCCTCGCTCGTGAATGGCGCAAGGTTACCAAAACCTGAAACACACGACACATGTTTTCATCATTTATTAGCCTAATTAGATGATTCCAATTAGTTTTTTTTCTTGTATTAAAGTTGGCTAAACTGATCCAAAGTTAGCTAAACTGCACCAACAGCCGCGCTGTGCCGGCAACTCAGGGTATTGTTCTGGTAACCACAATGCTGATTGTAAATATTGCAGTTACCCCGAGTTACCCTGACCTTACCAATAGAGACCTGACCAGTATAGCTGACCTTGAGCTCACCTATGGTGGTGGCCCTGACCTTACCAATAGAGCTGACCCTGACCTTACCAATAGAGTTGACCTTGACCTAACCAGTATCGCTGACCTTGAGCTCACCTATGGTGGTGACGACCGAGACGACGAAGCCGAAGGCCCCACTGAAGTCCCACCTGTCCAGGTGTGTCTTGTTCTCCACCACGTAGTAGACGATCTCGCTGTCCTCCACGGCATTCCTCAGCAGACGATACAGGTCGGCCCGGCTCACACAGCTGTTGTTCACTGGGGAGGGAGGGAGGGAGGGGCGTCACGTCAGTACTACATGCCGGGAGGTAGGGGGGGGGGGGCAAGGTGTTAGCACCAGACGCAACCACACACTCCACGCAACCATCGACCTACACATCCACAAACTCCAACCATCGACCTACACATCCACAAACTCCAACCATCGACCTACACATCCACAAACTCCAACCATCGACCTACACATCCACAAACTCCAACCATCGACCTACACATCCACAAACTCCAACCATCGACCTACACATCCACAAACTCCAACCATCGACCTACACATCCACAAACTCCAACCATCGACCTACACATCCACAAACTCCAACCATCGACCTACACATCCACAAACTCCAACCATCGACCTACACATCCACAAACTCCAACCATCGACCTACACATACACAAACTCCAACCATCGACCTACACATCCACAAACTCCAACCATCGACCTACACATCCACAAACTCCAACCATCGACCTACACATCCACAAACTCCAACCATCGACCTACACATCCACAAACTCCAACCATCGACCTACACATCCACAAACTCCAACCATCGACCTACACATCCACAAACTCCAACCATCGACCTACACATCCACAAACTCCAACCATCGACCTACACATCCACAAACTCCAACCATCGACCTACACATCCACAAACTCCAACCATCGACCTACACATACACAAACTCCAACCATCGACCTACACATCCACAAACTCCAACCATCGACCTACACATCCACAAACTCCAACCATCGACCTACACATCCACAAACTCCAACCATCGACCTACACATACACAAACTCCAACCATCGACCTACACATCCACAAACTCCAACCATCGACCTACACATCCACAAACTCCAACCATCGACCTACACATCCACAAACTCCAACCATCGACCTACACATCCACAAACTCCAACCATCGACCTACACATCCACAAACTCCAACCATCGACCTACACATCCACAAACTCCAACCATCGACCTACACATCCACAAACTCCAACCATCGACCTACACATCCACAAACTCCAACCATCGACCTACACATCCACACACTCCACGCAACCATCGACCTACACATCCACAAACTCCACGCATCAACACCACACTTCCACCACGCACACACAACCACATACACACACATACACACATGGAATTATATTAATAAAAACTTTTGATGTCAACCATTGATTAGAAATGTTTTTTTTTTTTAAATCTCGTGCACTATCCGTGAGCCAATTCTTAAGACAAACATCGTTATAGAAAGTAGGTCAGACATGAGAACATGGTTGCACGTGTTTTAGACGGTTGGTACTCATCACGTGATGCTGGTGTCTAAAGTATTTCCTTATGGAATAGATTTTTCTGAAAATAATTTCTTAAAATATTTCCTATGTTGTTTGATACTTATTTACATCACCTTGTTCTTTTATCTCCCTAGTAAATTATTATGGTATATTTTCTCGTAATTTCTGTTATATTTCTGTTCTATTTTCCAGGTATATTTTCCAGGTTTATTTTCCAGGTTTATTTTCCAGGTATTTTTTCCGTTGTTGTTTTTTTTCCGGTCATGTTTCCAGGTATGTTTTTCTGTTATAATTTCCAGGTATGTTTTCATATGATATTTAAACAGGTGAAAGAAGAATGGGTGTCTTAGCTGTCTTAAAAATCCGTCAGGTGTCTTAAGACCAACAGTGCAAGACGTATTGACAGCTGATGTTGTTCCACTGACCTTGACACCGTTCTCGTGACGTCACTTGACACATCCTCCCTGACCTCATTAAGTCCACGTTCACCTGGCGCGAGCAGGTTTCCTTGTCACGTGGTCTGCGTGCACGTGCACGATCAATAGTGCACTCAAGCCTCGACACACGCTCGTTCATGTTGTGGTAGACACCAAGGTCATGCGTAGACCACCAAGGTCACGGATCAACAAACAACAGACACGTGGGATAAGCTCAAGCAAGACACGTGACCAGGTGGAACTAAGCTCAGCAGACGATGTACACCTTCCAGACGACACTGTGACGTCACCGATTCTAGTTATAAGTACCGCGGCGGTTGACAAAATCCATGTTCAGGGCCTCGTTATAAGTAGGGGTACAGGTTGTGGTGAGATCTATGTAGGTCAGTGGTTAAATCTGTGAGTGGTTAAATCTGTGATTTGTTAAATCTGTGTGGGTGAGTGGTTTTGTGGCGGCGCTCGTCACACAGTGACGTAACGTGACAGACGTAACAAAGTGACGAAATAGCGTCACGTGAAAAACCACACGTTAAAACACCCACACTGAACTCACACACAATCACTTATTAATTGGCCATTGATCGGCCATTGATCGGCCATTGATGATTTACTGTTGCCCCACTTGAAGACGCGGCAAGACACTTGAGTCAATTAGCCCGGCCCCACCCCACACAACGACGGCCCCACCTCACACAACGCCGGCCCCACCTCACACAACGACAGCTCTTGTTTTTACACACTGTTTCAACAGGCTTTATACAAGTATCAAGCAAGTTCCATAAGTCTCAAGTTCCATACAAGTTCCATACAAGTCTCAAACCAGATCCATATAAGCCTCAAGTTCCATACAAGTTTCAAACAAGTTCCATACAAGTCTCAAGTTCCATACAAGTTTCAAACAAGTTCCATACAAGTCTCAAGTTCCATACAAGTCTCAAGTTCCATACAAGTCTCAAGTTCCATACAAGTCTCAAGTTCCATACAAGTTTCAAGTTCCATACAAGTCTCAAGTTTCATACAAGTCTCAAGTTCCATACAAGTTTCAAACAAGTTCCATACAAATCTCAAGTTCCATACAAATCTCAAGTTCCATACAAGTCTCAAGTTCCATACAAGTCTCAAGTTCCATACAAGTCTCAAGTTCCATACAAGTCTCAAGTTCCATACAAGTTTCAAGTTCCATACAAATCTCAAGTTCCATACAAGTGTCAAGTTCCACACAAGTCTCAAGTTCCACACAAGTTTCAAACAAGTTCCATACAAGTCTCAAGTTCCATACAAGTCTCAAGTTCCATACAAGTCTCAAGTTCCATACAAATCTCAAGTTCCATACAAATCTCAAGTTCCATACAAATCTCAAGTTCCATACAAATCTCAAGTTCCATACAAGTCTCAAGTTCCATACAAATCTCAAGTTCCATACAAATCTCAAGTTCCATACAAGTCTCAAGTTCCATACAAGTGTCAAGTTCCACACAAGTCTCAAGTTCCACACAAGTCTCAAGTTCCATACAAGTTTCAAGTTCCATACAAATCTCAAGTTCCATACAAGTGTCAAGTTCCACACAAGTCTCAAGTTCCACACAAGTTTCAAACAACTTCCATACAAGTCTCAAGTTCCATACAAGTCTCAAGTTCCATACAAGTCTCAAGTTCCATACAAATCTCAAGTTCCATACAAGTCTCAAGTTCCATACAAATCTCAAGTTCCATACAAATCTCAAGTTCCATACAAGTCTCAAGTTCCATACAAATCTCAAGTTCCATACAAGTCTCAAGTTCCATACAAATCTCAAGTTCCATACAAGTCTCAAGTTCCATACAAGTCTCAAGTTCCACACAAGTCACCAACAGCTGTAGCATCGTGTCATGAGACATTAGTCACTGGCCGACAGATGCACAGGAATGTGCAGACAGATGCACAAACGTGTGGTCACTAGCGACAATTTGTCTTCGTCAGGGTGCCTGGGCCTTCGACCATGGTATTGGGGGTTGGGAGTGGGGGGGGGGGGGGGCGAGGGGGGGATGTCCTCGTGTATGTATGGCTGCCAGCAACAGACGAGTCACATACAGCGCTAGTCAGCAAGTAGCAACTGCTACACCCAGCCCCACAGCCTGTGCCGCTTGTGTAGCTACTGTAGCCTGCTGTAGCCACTGTAGCCTGCTGTAGCCTGCTGTAGCCCCCCATGCACAGATCCAATCAATAAACTCTGCCTACATCAGCGACTTAAGTCTAATTAACTGTCAGCTCTAGCGGCTCTTGATTACTCGCGGGTTTTTCAATAGTTTATTTCAACTCAGAGCTTAAAGCTTTGCTCGCTAAGTGGAGAAGCTTAGAGCTCAGAAAACATGGAGCTAAAGATGGGGTTTAGGGGGTAAAAATACAGTGAAAACATTCAGTGGCGTCGTATGACAGGACGTACAATGACGTGTGACAGGACGTACAATGACGTGTGACTAACGTACAATGACGTGTGACAGGACGTACAATGACGTGTGACAGGACGTACAATGACGTGTGACTAACGTACACTGACGTGTGACTAACGTACAATGACGTATGACTAACGTACAATGACGTGTGACAGGACGTACAATGACGTGTGACAGGACGTACAATGACGTGCGACTAACGTACAATGACGTGTGACAGGACGTACAATGACGTGTGACAGGACGTACAATGACGTGTGACTAACGTACAATGACATGTGACTAACGTACAATGACGTGTGACAGGACGTACAATGAAGTGTGACAGGACGTACAATGACGTGTGACAGGACGTACAATGACGTGTGACAGGACGTACAATGACGTGTGACTAACGTACAATGACGTATGACAGGACGTACACTGACGTGTGACAGGACGTACAATGACGTGTGACAGGACCTACAATGACGTGTGACTCACGCAGGAAGCGCTCCACCTTGTCCTGCAGGACGTCCTTCCTGTCCTGCTCCGCCCCCGCCTCCAGCACGTTGAAGACGGCGGCGCCGATGCTGACGTAGATGACAAAGACGGCGATGAGCGCCACCAGACGCTTGACCTTCATGGCCTTGACCTTGTCCCTTCGCCCCTGTTTCTGCTCGCCCCGCCCCTGGCACCGACACACCAGCCGGTCCGTCACGATGACGGAACCGTCGGACGTTTCCGACAGGCTGAAACTGTCGGAGGTGTAGCCACGCCCACTGTCGGAGGTGTAGCCACGCCCACTGGCGTTGTTGTTGTTGATCTGATGATCATAGTGGCAGTGGTGACGCGGGCAGCAGGAGTCATTATGACGGGGACAACTTGAGTCAGAGTGACGCGGGCAGCAAGAGTCAGAGTGACGCGGGCAGCAGGAGTCAGTGTTGCTGATAGTGCTGACGGCGCTGTAGCGTGGGTCCATGCTGTGCGTGGCGTGGAGTGACTGGCCGCTCATGTCTGGCAACCTCAAGGGAGGCAGTCCAGGGGACGTTACTCCAGGCTTGGTCGGGGAGAGAGTTGTGGACCTTGGTATGTTGGTGATATAATAAAGTAGTCGCAAACAATTGAGATCTGTTCAGAGAAAAAAAAGCGTGAGTGATCTCCCATAAACTTTCTCCTTTATTCCTTTTTGTTTTTGAAAAAAAAAGAATAGGATCACAAACACAAAAAAAATAATTCGTGAAAAGTTTTGAAGACATCGGTCCAGTAGTAGTTATGTCGTGACCTTTTTTTTCAGAAATCGGAAATAGCTTCAATTAATACACAGCAGGACATGAGACCACAACAGGACTTGAGACCACACGACATGAGACCACAGCAGGACATGAGACCACAACATGAGACCACAGCAGGATATGAGACCACAGCAGGATATGAGACCACAGCAGGATATGAGACCACAGCAGGATATGAGACCACAACATGAGACCACAACAGGATATGAGACCACAACAGGACATGAGACCAAAACATGAGACCACAGCAGGACATGAGACCACAGCAGGACATGAGACCACAACATGAGACCACAGCAGGACATGAGACCACAGCAGGACATGAGACCACAGCAGGACATGAGACCACAACATGAGACCACAGCAGGACATGAGACCACAGCAGGACATGAGACCACAACAGGACATGAGACCACAACATGAGACCACAACAGGATATGAGACCACAACAGGACATGAGACCAAAACATGAGACCACAGCAGGACATGAGACCACAGCAGGACATGAGACCACAACGTGAGACCACAGCAGGATATGAGACCACAGCAGGACATGAGACCACAACATGAGACCACAACAGGACATGAGACCAAAACATGAGACCACAGCAGGACATGAGACCACAACATGAGACCACAACAGGATATGAGACCACAGCAGGACATGAGACAACAACAGGACATGAGACCACAACATGAGACCACAACAAGATATGAGACCACAGCAGGACATGAGACCACAACAGGACATGAGACCACAACAGGACATGAGACCACAACAGGACATGAGACCACAACAGGACATGAGACCACAGCAGGACATGAGACCACAGCAGGACATGAGACCACAGCAGGACATGAGACCACAACAGGACATGAGACCATAACATGAGACCACAGCAGGACATGAGACCACAGCAGGACATGAGACCACAACAGGATATGAGACCACAACATGACATGAGACCACAGCAGGACATGAGACCACAGCAGGACATGAGACCACAACAGGATATGAGACCACAGCAGGACATGAGACCACAACAGGACATGAGACCACAACAGGACATGAGACCAAAACATGAGACCACAGCAGGACATGAGACCACAACATGAGACCACAACAGGATATGAGACCACAACAGGACATGAGACCACAACAGGACATGAGACCACAACATGAGACCACAGCAGGACATGAGACAACAACAGGACATGAGACCATAACATGAGACCACAACAAGATATGAGACCACAGCAGGACATGAGACCACAACAGGACATGAGACCACAACATGACATGAGACCACAGCAGGACATGAGACCACAACAGGATATGAGACCACAGCAGGACATGAGACCACAACAGGACATGAGACCATAACATGAGACCACAGCAGGACATGAGACCACTGCAGGACATGAGACCACAACAGGACATGAGACCACAACATGACATGAGACCACAGCAGGACATGAGACCACAACAGGACATGAGACCACAACATGACATGAGACCACAGCAGGACATGAGACAACAGAAGGACATGAGACCACAACAGGACATGAGACCAAAACATGAGACCACAACATGAGACCACAGCAGGACATGAGACCACAACAGGACATGAGACCAAAACATGAGACCACAACATGAGACCACAGCAGGACATGAGACCACAACAGGACATGAGACCACAACATGAGACCACAGCAGGACATGAGACCACAACATGAGACCACAACAGGACATGAGACCACAACAGGACATGAGACCACAACATGAGACCACAGCAGGACATGAGACCACAACAGGACATGAGACCACAACATGAGACCACAGCAGGACATGAGACCACAACATGAGACCACAGCAGGACATGAGACCACAACAGGACATGAGACCACAACATGAGACCACAGCAGGACATGAGACCACAACATGAGACCACAACAGGACATGAGACCACAACATGAGACCACAGCAGGACATGAGACCACAACATGAGACCACAGCAGGACATGAGACCACAACAGGACATGAGACCACAACATGAGACCACAACAGGACATGAGACCACAACATGAGACCACAGCAGGACATGAGACAACAGAAGGACATGAGACCACAGCAGGAATTGAGACCACAACAGGACATGAGACCACAACAGGACATGAGACCACAACAGGACATGAGACCAAAACATGAGACCACAACATGAGACCACAGCAGGACATGAGACCACAACAGGACATGAGACCAAAACATGAGACCACAACATGAGACCACAGCAGGACATGAGACCACAACAGGACATGAGACCACAACATGAGACCACAGCAGGACATGAGACCACAGCAGGACATGAGACCACAGCAGGACATGAGACCACAACAGGACATAAGACCACAGCAGGACATGAGACCACAGCAGGACATGAGACCACAACATGAGACCACAGCAGGATATGAGACCACAGCAGGATATGAGACCACAGCAGGATATGAGACCACAGCAGGATATGAGACCACAACATGAGACCACAACAGGATATGAGACCACAACAGGACATGAGACCACAACAGGACATGAGACCAAAACATGAGACCACAGCAGGACATGAGACCACAGCAGGACATGAGACCACAACATGAGACCACAGCAGGACATGAGACCACAGCAGGACATGAGACCACAGCAGGACATGAGACCATAACATGAGACCACAGCAGGACATGAGACCACAGCAGGACATGAGACCACAACAGGACATGAGACCACAACGTGAGACCACAGCAGGATATGAGACCACAGCAGGACATGAGACCACAACAGGACATGAGACCACAACAGGACATGAGACCAAAACATGAGACCACAGCAGGACATGAGACCACAACATGAGACCACAACAGGATATGAGACCACAGCAGGACATGAGACAACAACAGGACATGAGACCATAACATGAGACCACAGCAGAACGTGAGACCACAGCAGGACATGAGACCACAGCAGGGCATGAGACCACAGCAGGACATGAGACCACAACAGGACATAAGACCACAGCAGGACATGAGACCACAGCAGGACATGAGACAACAACAGGACATGAGACCATAACATGAGACCACAACAGGATATGAGACCACAGCAGGATATGAGACCACAACAGGACATGAGACCATAACATGAGACCACAGCAGGACATGAGACCACAGCAGGACATGAGACCACAACAGGACATGAGACCACAACATGACATGAGACCACAGCAGGACATGAGACCATAACATGAGACCACAGCAGGACATGAGACCACAGCAGGACATGAGACCACAACAGGACATGAGACCACAACATGACATGAGACCACAACAGGATATGAGACCACAGCAGGACATGAGACCACAACATGAGACCACAACAGGACATGAGACCACAACAGGACATGAGACCACAACATGACATGAGACCACAGCAGGACATGAGACCATAACATGAGACCACAGCAGGACATGAGACCACAGCAGGACATGAGACCACAACAGGACATGAGACCATAACATGAGACCACAGCAGGACATGAGACCACTGCAGGACATGAGACCACAACAGGACATGAGACCACAACATGACATGAGACCACAGCAGGACATGAGACAACAGAAGGACATGAGACCACAACAGGACATGAGACCAAAACATGAGACCACAACATGAGACCACAGCAGGACATGAGACCACAACAGGACATGAGACCACAACATGAGACCACAGCAGGACATGAGACCACAACAGGACATGAGACCACAACATGAGACCACAGCAGGACATGAGACCACAACAGGACATGAGACCACAACATGAGACCACAGCAGGACATGAGACAACAGAAGGACATGAGACCACAGCAGGAATTGAGACCACAACAGGACATGAGACCACAACAGGACATGAGACCACAACAGGACATGAGACCACAACATGAGACCACAACATGAGACCACAGCAGGACATGAGACCACAACAGGACATGAGACCAAAACATGAGACCACAACATGAGACCACAGCAGGACATGAGACCACAACAGGACATGAGACCACAACATGAGACCACAGCAGGACATGAGACCACAGCAGGACATGAGACCACAGCAGGACATGAGACCACAACAGGACATAAGACCACAGCAGGACATGAGACCACAGCAGGACATGAGACCACAACATGAGACCACAGCAGGATATGAGACCACAGCAGGATATGAGACCACAGCAGGATATGAGACCACAACATGAGACCACAACAGGATATGAGACCACAACAGGACATGAAACCACAACAGGACATGAGACCAAAACATGAGACCACAGCAGGACATGAGACCACAGCAGGACATGAGACCACAACATGAGACCACAGCAGGACATGAGACCACAGCAGGACATGAGACCACAGCAGGACATGAGACCACAACATGAGACCACAGCAGGACATGAGACCACAGCAGGACATGAGACCACAACAGGACATGAGACCACAACGTGAGACCACAGCAGGATATGAGACCACAGCAGGACATGAGACCACAACAGGCCATGAGACCACAACAGGACATGAGACCAAAACATGAGACCACAGCAGGACATGAGACCACAACATGAGACCACAACAGGATATGAGACCACAGCAGGACATGAGACAACAACAGGACATGAGACCATAACATGAGACCACAGCAGAACGTGAGACCACAGCAGGACATGAGACCACAGCAGGGCATGAGACCACAGCAGGACATCAGACCACAACAGGACATAAGACCACAGC